ACACAAAAGCGTTTGTGATGTTGTGTAAATTTCTAACACTCACCACACTGTGAGAGAAACTTCAGAACAGTTTTTATAATGAAAGCAGAAACAAACCTGCTGGACTACAAACAAATATTCTGAAGAAGAGTTTATATAAACATACCTTGCACATTTGTAAATGAGTTATCACTGTCATTCTCTAACTGTTAGCAGGAGAGTCAACAGCCTTACATTTGCAATCTTTTAAACCTTTAAAATTACAGCTAACACAGCTAAATTAAAAAAGACAAGTTTCAATGAAGAACCGTGTCAAAAATCAGAAGAAGAAAACAAATCTCACCATAGACATGAAGATTTAGTGGAGAACCTTTGGTGCTGTAGACGTCCCTGCTCTTCAGTTTTCCTGAGCAGCTGTAGTTTCCCCCGTCTGAGGTTGAAGCAGAGGTGATGGAAAGATTTCTGTCCTTATCTGAATTATAATGCTGGACCTCAGTGCCATCTCTGTAAAATGCGTATGTCCAGTCAGCGCTGTCCTTCTGCATCTCACAGCTCATATTTACACTCTCAGTGGGGAACACATCTGGCCATTTGGTTACTAGCTTCAAAGTTGGAACAGGAATTTCTAAAAAATAAAATATAAGAGACTTGTTAATCATTTTACAAATCATTAGAGATTTTCTGTTTTGATTCTCCCCATAATAATACCCCAAAGTATCTCAAATCACATGATTTCAAAGTGTCTTTCTTCAGCTCACCAGAGATTTGTACGGTCCGCTGGTCACTGAATTCTGTGTTGAATCCTGTTTTGTCTCTTTTGGCCTTGCACTTATAAACTCCCCCGTTTAACAAAGCGAGTCCTTTCATTTTTAAACTGTTGCTGTTGTTGGGAATCGATGCTTCATCTTTGTACCAGTCATAGCTCCATCCATCGGAGTTTTCAACTTTGCATTCAAAGGACATGTTTTCTCCAACGTAAAGCTTTTTAGCATCTGGCTGTTGAGTTATTGTAGGCTTAGGCTTGTTTTCTGAACAGACAAAGAAGAAGTAGTGTTTTTTTAATTTTAGACAGAAGCAACTGAAGTGTTCATGAAAAAGGTTCTGAAATGAAAGCAGGAACGAACCTGCTGGACTACAAACAGATATTCTGAAGAAGAAACTTACTTTGCACTTTAAGTTGTTTAGCTGCACTTGAATTAGTGATGAAGGCTGGATTTTGACCTCTTGTTGCTTTGCATGTATACGATCCCTGATCTGCTGTTCCCCTAATTTGAACTTTAAGTTTGTCTGATGATCCAGTAACCTTACTGCCATCTTTGTACCACAGGTACGTCCATGCAGAGTGGACACTGATGGCACAGCTGAAGGTGACCGCTTCTTCAGCAAACATCACATCGTATTCTGGATCTCGTGTCAGTGTGAGAGTGGGTTTCTCAGCTGAGGGGATATGAACATGACAATCAAAAATTATGCAGTATTTAATGTGGACATTGTGACGTGCCTCAAACAATTACTCTTGTATTTTAATATAATATTTAATATGTTTTATACCTGAACCTGAACATTTTCTATTTGTGATGCTATATACATTTCTTAAACCCACCATATACTGTGAGAGAAACCTTCAGAACTGTTTTTACAAAGCAGGAACAAAGCTGCTGGACTACAAACAGATATTCTGAAGAAGAAACTTACGTTGCACTTTAAGTTGTTTAGCTGCACTTGAATTAGTGATGAAGGCTGGATTTTGACCTCTTGTTGCTTTGCATGTATACGATCCCTGATCTGCTGTTCCCCTAATTTGAACTTTAAGTTTGTCTGATGATCCAGTAACCTTACTGCCATCTTTGTACCACAGGTACGTCCATGCAGAGTGGACACTGATGGCACAGCTGAAGGTGACCGCTTCTTCAGCAAACATCACATCGTATTCTGGATCTCGTGTCAGTGTGAGAGTGGGTTTCTCAGCTGAGGGGATATGAACATGACAATCAAAAATTATGCAGTATTTAATGTGGACATTGTGACGTGCCTCAAACAATTACTCTTGTATTTTAATATAATATTTGATATGTTTTATACCTGAACTTGAAAAAGTTCCTTTGTAAAAATACACAAAAGCGTTTGTGATGTTGTGTAAATTTCTAACACTCACCACACTGTGAGAGAAACTTCAGAACTGGTTTGGCTGGTGACAGCCCTGTTCTGGATTTTTCCACTACACATTTTTTCCTATATGACCAGCTGAAGCAGAGCCTCATTCACATCTAAAGACACAGTACCATCAGCGTGGACCTGCGTCCCATCTCTCTACCATGTATACATCCAGTCACAGGCGCCCTGCCCCATCCCACACTTGAACTTCACACTCTCGGTGGGGAACACATGTGCCCACTTGAGTGTGTCTGTTGAAGTTGGAAGTGAACTCTGACGAAAGCAGACGCATTAACCATTTAACATAGCATGCTTTTACAGTTGCAGCTAGCAATGATTTCTATTATTTAGTGTGTAAAACAGGATGTGTCCTTTTACACAAATGATCTTATTCTTTCCCTCACAGCTCCACCTATGCTCTAACACCCTGACGGCTTTTGAGGCATCCCTCTGTGCTTTATGCTACGCCACAACATCCTGTTTCGACAGACGATGCAGAAAATAACGGAAGGAAGATGCTCTCAAAATGCTGTTTCACGGAGTACAAAGAAGTTTTGAGGTTTTAATAACAGTATGGACAACGCAAAATATGACCTGCTTATACACAAGATTAGCATTTTGCATATTCACAATACCAACTGCTTATTTACAACAATAATTTTACTTGTGTTCACCTACTGTTGTGGTGAGGTTTGAGAAAACTGATAAGAATCTCATGTTCGTCTGTGAGGTATATATGAAGCAACGCAGAGGGCCAAAACAGACTGTTTGGCTCTGTCCACAGTGACAGAATCACCCTGTTAGCCTGTCGTACTCTTATTACTTTGTTATTTCTTAAACTGTTAATGCAAGTTAAAGTAATGCCATGCACATGCAAGAAAACTCACCGCTAACTTGGATCATAACCTCGCTGCTGAATCCAGAGTTCACTCCCCTAGATGTAAGGTGAGCTTTGCAGGTGTATGATCCTTTATGCGTCTGACGGACCGAGGTGATTTTTAATGATGATCCGTCCCCATTAATGATCTCAACTGGGTTATTTTGGAGCTGCTGCTTATTTCTGTGCCATGTAAACGTCCAGCCAGGGGTGCTGCTGACAACGTGACAGTGAAATTCCACCGCCTCACCTTCAAACACATCTTTCCAGGCAGTCTGAAGCTGCAGACCTGGTGTTGGTGGGTCTGTAACACAAAAAAAGAGAACTTTTAACTGCAGGTTAAAAGAGTATCAGTAAGAAAGCCAAATTGCTATGTACATCATCCAAGTACTATACATGCACCCAAAGTTACACACAGCCTCATGTAAATAAACATGAATGCTGTAGTTTATGTACTGGTGGCACAGTGGATACTTACCAATAACTTTAAGAGTTGTGCTCTCACTTAAATGTGTAAGAAACTGATCTCTTTTGCCTTGGCAATAATACTGTCCACTGTTTTGAGTCATTACAGAATTTATGGTATACGACTTAGTATTAACTCCTGAAATCTGGTGTTGATCATTGTGCCACAGGTACTCCCATCCAGACGACACATCAACACTGCAGGTCAAAGTGATGGATTCGCCGGGGAACATCTCGCCAAAGTCTGAATCTCGTGCAAGTGTGGGCTTGGGTGTGCTTGCTGCTCAGGACACAGAAAGAAAAGGGCATGCTTCAGCAGTCTACACTCTCGCTATAAATACAGCACAAATATTGCAACGAACCTTACCATAAACTTTAATTTTGACAGGTCCACTTTCTTTAGTTTGACTGGGCTTCTTTTTGCCCTCAACCACACAGGTGTAATTTCCAGAATCTTGTGTTGATGACGCTGTGATTGTAAGCACTGACTTATCTGGGGACAGAGACAGATTTGGACCTAGAGGGCTTCCATCTTTCTTCCATGTGATGATCAGCTCTGAGCTGCTAGTGGCTTTACATTCTAGCACTACTTTCTCAGAAGAGAAGACGTCTGACCAGGAGGACGTTCGCTCCAGAACTGGTACCGGAGGCTCTGAAAATTGTTTAAAAAAGTGAAAGAATGGGAATGAATGAGGGTTTACACTCCTTAAAGAAAAACAACTGGGAGTTTAGATTCCATTCGTATATCCAGAATCTGAGCAAAACCCCCCTGATGATGGCTACAGACGTAATATAAAAATATCAGTAAATCTAAAAGAATAATCACAAACGAAGTACACAGAGGAGCATCTGTGAATGTAGAACGCAGTAAAAGCTGAAGTAGATGGGAGCACAAAAACACCAGATGCTAATCGTGTCAGGTAAGAACAGGAAACCAAAGTTACCAAAACTTGACAATTAAAGACCGGAAAAAACATTTTGATTGGTTAGATTTCTGTAATGACACAACCTCAGAATTGTTGCGTTGAATGGGGTGTTTTATGGGTCAGTAGGAAGTCTTTAGATACTCTACAGCATCAATCAGACATCACCTAAAAAGCTTACTCAAGTAGCCTGTTGTTGCTGGCCCTGCCCATTCCTTTACTGATAAATTGTACCCATCTATTCAACAGGACGGCATGCCAAAGCTCAAACACTCGCGCTGCATTCTTGAACACAACGAAGTGTTCACTGAATTCAGATCTGACTAGATGTCAGTGAAATACGTCACCTATCGGATGTGGTTAAATAAAACAAATCCATCATGCAGGTACTGCTGCCCACTAATGTGCAGGCTGTGCATGCTGCTCGTCATGCCAGTTAAGGTAGCTCTGAAGCCAAAAACGAGCCCGACATGTTAGCGGCACAGTGTAAGTGGCGTTTGACGAGTACATATGATCAAAAAAACTGAGGTCATAATCTCACCAAAAGGAGGAGGTGCTGTCGATTCACTTTCTCTATAACTGTAGGTGGTTGCTGGATGGAGAAGAGAAAAGATGTGGAGAGCAAAGTTTAGATAAAAAAAAAAAACAAGGTTTGAGTCATATCCACAATGTAAAGGTGAGACTTCATAAAAACACTGGTAACAGTTAAATCAGAGCTCCAATCTCAAACTGCGATGCCTAATTCTTTTTTTAGTAGACATGAATGATTGAAATGAATACATTTTTCACAACTTTTAAGAACTTTTAGTTTGACAAAACAATGACTTAAAAACATCCTTTGTGTCCTACATACAAAACTATTACACAATACATCCACTCTCAATACTGTCAAGTGAAACCTACGGCATGATGACAGGAGACTATTGAGATTAGGCTGGCGTGAGGTAATACGGACACATGAGTTTATAAGTGTGTGTATCTAGTTGTAGGAACTTTCAGACTCATGACAATAAAGTACTTCATGTTCCTCTTGTTAAATTTACCCAAGTTCTACTTCCTAAACATTGCTCTTGCTCGACTCAGACCAGGCCATGTAGGCGTTCAGTGCATAACTGTTGGTTTAAGAGACACTTTATGATCTTAACAGTTAACTTCTGTACTGAATCTGGTGTTTTTGCTCAACATGAAAATGTTTTAGAAAATCTTTTTCCAAAAATCATCTTCAACTTCTAAAACAGTGCAATCTGCTCAAATGTGTGAAAATCTGCTCTCGGCATGAAAGTCAGTTTTTCCTACCATCGTTATCCTCAGAAGCACAAACAGCAACCGCATCTGTCAAAGAACCAAACAACGTTCAGTTGCATTAAGATTTGCATGTAAGTGAAAATATTCTTTATAAACTACAGAATTGAACATAAACGCTTAAAAACTTACATATTACACTGAAGACCTTGAACAGCCACATCTTCCATTGAGCTGCACGTGTAGCACATGTAGAGACTGGGTGTCTCAGTTGACTCATTTATCTGCTTCGCTGTGACATTCAGTAAAGGAAATAGAGCGCAGTTGCAGTATAAATGGGCGTATGTGACAGCTTCATTTCTGAACTCACCTCAGGACGGCAGCTTTCCTGTCGCTCTCTGACAACTGCCTTTTTTTGTTAAAGCAACAGGAAATGTGTTGGTGAACCACACTCAGATGTTTGTTGTTGATACAAAGTTGAACTGCTGATTTGTGTGAAATAAAAGGAGGGTTTAGGGAATTGAAAGAATGTGCAAGATGCTAAACTGTTGACAAAGCTCGATATTGTGCTCAATTTGACGATTTTAGACCTAAAGTCGTCTATGACTTAGCCAGCATGTCGTATCTGGGATATTTCATTGTGCAGAAAAAAACTAAACAAAAGAAATAATTTTAAAAAACTACCAACATCAACAAATGCATTCCTAAAATCAAAGTTATCCTTTTACTATGGTGTAGGCCATTTGGAAACTGTAGCTGAGGCGTGATTTGAGGGGATGAACGGAAACTGCAGGTTATTTAAATTCTACTTTTTTTATAAACTTATATGAAACTAGCGTCTAACCACAAACTGTGACTTCCTTTTGTCTTCAGCTGAAAGTTGCTCTCGAAAAACAAGAAAGGAAATTTCTTAACAGTTTCATTTTGACTGAAAACACCTTTTAGAGCACACATGTAACTACATTATATGTAATATTCAAAACAGCCTTAACGAGCACATCAGTTTTAATTATTACGTGTCGAATGAATCTTTCTCTCTCTGGTGACTTCCTGTAAGGCTGGGTGTTTTGCACCGAGATGCATCACATTTCAGTTCCTGTGTAAGCGAGGACTTCACTCACCCTACTCACCACAAGGTGTCTGTATAACACAGAAAATCCCGTTATGTCATGTCAAACTAAAATAAACCTCGGTTCATATCAAACCTGGGAATAACAACAATAACCTATCTTTAAAAAAACATTTGTATAGATCAGTCTTTGGATTTATCCGGTTTATTAAAGCCTGATTAGATTTCACCAGGCCATGTATACTCGGTGGCCACTTCATTAGTTACACCTTGCTAGTACAAAGTACTTGGACTGCTCTTTTGCTTGCAGAACATCGTCAGTTCTTCATGATACAGATGATATAAGATGCACTGTTGCACTATATAAATAAAACTGAACAGAATTTAATTCGATTGAATTGAATGTGGACGAGAAATCGAGATAAATCACACCTGCCACCATTTTTTGCACTCTTCCAGCGTCAGTTTTGGTGTGTGCATTTGTGTAGCCTCACTGTTCTCTTATCACCCTACATGAGTGACTTCCAGTCTGGTCTTCTGCTGCTTCTTCATCAAGTTGTGCATTCAGAGCTCTTCTGCACACCTTGGTTGTAATCAGCGGTTCTTTGAGTTAGTGTTGCTCTGATATCAGCTCAAAGCATTCTGTTGATTCTCCCCTGACTTATGGCATCAATATTTTCTGTTTTTCAGACGATACCATCAAACCCTAGAGATGATTGTGTGGAAAAGTCCCAGAAGACCAGCAGTTTCTGAAATAGCCAGACCAGCCTGTCTGACACCAACAACCATGCCACGTTCAAAAATACTTAATTGAGCTTCTTTCTGATGCTGAGTTTGAACTTCTGCTTTGAAGATAGTGGATTATGGCAGCAGATATTATACAGACTGAGTTGCAGCCATGTGATGGGCAGTTGAACAGGTGTAACCAGTGAAGTGGCTGCTGAGTATATATGTTTCTATTAGGGGGGGGAAACTGCATGATTTGTCTAAAGTAGTATTTACTGAATCATGTGTTTTGGAGTAGTTTTATTTTGGTATTGATGCTATTACTACTACTACTACTAATAATAATAATAATATGTTCCTGTCATCAATGTGTAAACAGGCTAAACAAAAGATGCTTCCAGATGTATGTACAGTTTCACTTGACATTTTTCCCCCAACAGGACCTCAGGTGATTCTGGCAAAGACAAAAATGGGCAGAGTCGTGGTATGTCCCTTGTTTGTCTTAAGGTCTCGCCAATCCTGGAAGCTGTGCTGTGCATCTGGACTGCATACTTCTTTTTTTCTTTGTTACCTTCATATTCAGGTCCTGTTCAGTTAAACTCTTTCATTATTAGTAAAAGATAATGTACAGTCACTCACTGTTCCTGATGAAACACCGGTGCAGTGTCAATAATATTACAAATATTAATACTAGTAACGCTAATAACTGTTTGAAAACTGAATCATGAAGTGGTGCTTTTTTTCTTTCTGGGGATTTTCGAGAAAACATTTCAAACTTAAATGTTTTTTTCACAGAGGCAATGGTGGGGAACTCTTCAAAGAGTGTACAGTTATTGTTTTTTAGAAAACAATAGATGTTGTACAACATTAGCTTCAAAGACAATCTTGTGTTTGGTGGCAGAAGTTGAGGGGCAAACAGAGAGAAACAGACATGTGCCTGCAGCCAACATCGAACCACCAGTTAACCTGACATACGTACAGGTAGGTCCATATATATTTGGACACTTTTTACCTGTATACTTAAACATATTCCAATTATTGCTACATAATGGACATGGACATAATATGCAGACTCAGCTTTCATTCAAGCGTATCCACATTCAAATTGAAGTGTTTAGGAGTACAGGTCCTTAACATGCACCGCTCTCTTTTTAAAGGGACCAAAAGTAATTGGACAATTGATTTAAAGGCTATTTGATGGGCTCATTGTTTCATTACTAATGAAGCAGATAAAATGACTGGAGTTGATTTGAGCTGTGGTGCTCGAATTTGGAAGATATTGCTATGAACAGCATGCGGTCAAAGCAGCTCTCCATGCAGGTGAAACGAGCCTGCTTAAGCTGCAAAAACTGAAAAAAAAACCTCATCTGAGACTTCGCTGCAGTGTTAGGATTGGCAAAATCTACAGTTCGGTACATCCTGAGAAAGAAAGCATTGGTGAGGTCAGCAACGTAAAAAGATCTGGATGTCCAAGGAAGACAACAGTGGTGGAGAATCATTTCCATGGTGATGAAAAATCCTATCACATCAGCCAACCAAGTGAACAACACTCTCCAGGAGGTAGGTGTACCAGTAACCAACCATGAAAGTAAATACAGAGTTCACTGCAAGGTTCAAGCCACTCATAAGCCCCAAGAATAGAAAAGCTAGATTGGACTTTGCTAAAAAACAAACAAACAAACAAACAAAACATCAACAAAAGCCAGCACAGGTCTGGAAAAATATTCTTTCGAGATGAAACCAAGATCAACGTCTCTCAGAATGATGGCAAGATGGCAAAATTATGAGACAGCTCATGATCCAATGCATTCCACATCATCTGTAAAACACAGCGGTGTGATGGCTTGGCCATGCATGGCTGCCAGTGTCACTGGGGCACTAGTGTTTGTTTGTTTGTCTGTGTTCAGAGACAAATTGAGCTCAAATTGAGCTAAATGCAGTCAGAGTGATTGGGCAGCATCATAATACAGATGGACAACGACCCAAAACATGCAGCCAAAGCAACACAGTTTATTAAAGCAAAGAAGTGGAATATTCTTGAACTGCCAAATCAGTCACCTGACCGTAACAAACTGAGCCTTTAACTTGCTGAAGACTAAACTTCTCCACACAAACAGCAACTGAAAGGCCTGGCAGAGCATTAACAGGAGGAAACTCTTTTATGCAATCTTTTTGTTCAACCCACTGAATTAAAGCTGAAGGTCTGCACTTCAACTGCATCTGAATTGTTGCATTTAAAATTCATTGTGGTAATGTACAGAAGCAAAATTAGAAAAAGTTGTCTGTGTCCAAATTTCAATGGACATAACTGTACGTTTGGACTGTGAGAGGAAGCCTGGAAACCCACTAAGTCACAGGAACAGGAACAGAAACTTAACGAAGGCTAGAAACATCTTATTGAGAAACAACAGTACTCACCACTACGCCACCAGTAACCAGAATTTCATCAAAATGCCAGAGAACCAGTCTACAAAGGCTGTTTCATTAAATGATAACAACTTGAACTCTCATTATTGAAATCCTATGACTCTCTTAATAACTGTAGATAACTCTAATAGCATATGGGACACTGTATTATAAGCATCTTTAAATTTATGTTTTTAAAAAGAAAATCACATAACATATAATAAAATATAACCTTTATTTAACATCCCTACAGGCATCGCATCTCCCAGGATTTACTGTTTCATTGAGCAGTACATATACCTCATATATACTTACTATAACAAACAGAAAAAACATGGTAAATATAGCTTTACATACATGTCACCAACTGAAATAACATACAGCGTTTGGCAAACGGGGATGGGCTGGATCTTCCATGCATGCTGGAGGGAGAGTCAGGGTGTCTGATTTGAAATAGATGTTGGTATGGTGTTCTGCCCATTTCTTCATTATGTACACACTGCCGCACAGCCAACTTGCACCTTCTCAAACACTCTGGAAGAAATAAGAGGGATTTATAAGGTTTGCACACACGCAGTCATATTTCCACAGAGGATATAAAATTGGCATATTGTGCATTAATTTAATGAATTATTTTAACTGAATGATGTACATACACACAAACTCTTACCTTAAAACATAAGACCTGGACTTCTGCTGGTCCTCTAAAGCCACAGAAAGGTGGAAAGATAATTAAAGGAAGAAGACATTAAATGGAATCATGAGATATTGGTAATCACTTTAATCAGAAACATTCTGACAGAAAGCTTGACCGTTCGTTTAAGGTCTTGCTGTCTTGTAGGTCTGGGTGTGTCCTTATGTGTGAGATTGCTTAAGTGCGTATTTTCCATCAGGGATTATCTGCCTCAGTTTCTGCTCTCTTAGCCCATTCTCCCCTCTTCTCACAGCACTCGGCCTGTTGACTCATGGTAATGTGATGAGTTTGGCTGTGTGTCAGATCATCTGGAGTCATTTATAGAAGCTGTCGAGTGCCGCACTGACATCACCCCTATCTCTCGCCCAATGGCCAATCCTGCCTAATCCTCCTTTCTCCCCATGCGGGGCCATCCCATGTAAGGCTGAGCTGTATGGGATCACATACTGACACCTTGTAGAGACTTATAAGCAGGATCACGTCATTTATAGGGCACAGTTTACACTTGGCCTGAAAACGCTTTTTCAGTAATCTGATCACAAGAGGACAGCTGTACATAAATACAGGTGTGAACCCATCCAAACACACTGGAGTTGCATTCGGAGTAGAAAGGTATGTGACCCCATTTACGTAACAGCATGATGTGAAGACACTTGTGTCCCTGACCACACTCAAGGTCAAGTTTGAAGTGTGTATGTATCATGGCAACTATTTTATTCCCTCAAGTCAAACAACTAAGAAGGACACTGAAACTGTTCAAAGTGCAAAAATAATGCACAATGGTTGTTCTCCTATATTGCATATTACAAAATGTAATTGGAGCTGAACAGCAACATTCAATCACAAGTGGTTATTTTTAAATATAATCAGTTAGAGTTTCGTCAGGATCCCTACACTCTGAGAAGATTTTGTTTGCTGTGACTGCTTTCTGGAACCTCTCCATGGAAAGCACATAGCAGAAAGAGCAACACCATCACAGCAGGTATCAAGAGATTTGACACTGATTAAGTCAGACACAGCATAAAAAGAAAGTGGGTTGCAAAGCTGCTTGCAGGTGAGCCTGAAACTTTAGGCAGGCTAAAGCAACATAAATAGAGCGTTCTGTTTGAAATTTAACAACAGGCTGTGTACAAAAATAACAGCAGAGTGAGCCATCAACTGATGTGAATCTGCTGATGTGTCAGATCTTAATAGTTAAAAGGAAATTTTGAGCACTCCCTGTGAAATTCTACACCACTGGAGTAATTAAAACACCAAAACACAAATGTGGCAGTCTAAGAGTGAGGATATAAATAGCATAATAAAAGCAGTGAAAACATCAGATTTGGTATTTCTATTTAGCCATCATTAATCCTCGCCACATTACCACATCTAAAAGCAGGGCTTGCAATGTACAAAATGCACAGAGGATAAAGGCTGAGAGGAGACATGAGGAGGGAAGAGGAGAGCAAGAGCGGCGTTGCTTTTAAACTGATGAGTTTGTCACTGCAGCTCATGGCTGGTCAGTGGCGCTGCAGGTTTTATCAGTCTGTCCCATTTCATCTCCAATGACAACTGAGCCAGTAACTGGGTTTGCCAGTGAAAGCTTTAATAACAAATACTTTGTCATAGTGATGTTGCATAGCATACAGGGAGAGGCCATCATCATCATCGTTTATTTATATAGCACTTTAAAAAGAATATATATACAATATATATAACAATAAATATAAATATAGGAATAAAATAGCAAAAACCAGACAGAGCAATAAAATTAATAAAAATGCCAGTTACCCACAGAGTTAAAAGCCAGGGAATAAAAATAGGTTTTTAATCTGGACTTAAAAACTGGCACTGATGTAGTCTGTCTAATAAGGAGAGGAAGGCTTTTCCAAAGCATCGGAGCCGCAACAGAGAACGCTCGGTCTCCTCCAAGTTTCAGCCGTGACTTTGGGACAGAAAGCAACAGTTGCTGACCGAAGCGCAGGAATGGGGACATGTGGCTTCAACAAGTCAGACAAACAAACAGGTGCCAGACCATTTAGAGATTTAAAAACCAATAAAAGAACTTTAAAACGGATCCTAAATTCAATTGGAAGCCAGTGTAGAGACCAAGACCGGAGTGATGTGGTCGAATTTCCTTCTGCCAGTTAAAAATCGTGCTGTGGCATTTTGCACTAGTTGCAAGCGTGAGTGGGATGTGTCTACGTAGCATGACTGCCAGGAAGCAGAATATTGGATTGGAACATGATGAACTGAAACAAAACAGTACAGGTAGATGCAGAGCACAGGGGAAAGCTGTCTGCTTGTTTACAGATGGATGTTCACAGTGTCCTATGTTACTAAGGTATTTACAGTGAGGGTTTAGGCAAGTGAACAGAGGTAAGTTGCTAATGAACTTACCTCTAGAAGTTTAGATAATAGTTTATTTCCCCTTCTCAGCATCTGGAAGAATGACCTCTGTTTAGGAAACAAAAGTGTAGCTGTGGTTAAAAAAACTTCTGCTTTTCAAATTGATGTAAATGTATTTTTATAGTTACAATAATTCACAACAGCTTAGGGAGAGAATATTGAAGAGTAAATGTAGAAATATTTCCCCATTTGATCAACAGTAGATACATACGTTTGACCTCGAGCTTGCAGGAGACGGTGGCCTCTCCCTGGGCATTTTTAGCTCTGCAGGTGTACACACCACCATCAAAGCTGCAGGGCTTTCGGATCTCGAGGGAACAAATGCCCTGGTTGGAGATCTGACGATACTTGGGGTCGTCACCAATGACCATTTGATTCTTCAACCACTCGATCTTAGGCTGAGATGAGAGAAAAATGTACAAAATAAATTAACTTTACCACAAAATTACCAAGACTGATGTTAATGAAAATCAACATCTTGCATGAATTATCATGATAACAGCAGCTGGGATGTACAAGGTTGATCTCTTCTGCAACATGAGAATATTCATCGGACACATTCAGGAACCAATCTGTAAAGACACGATGACTAATAGAGACACGTGAAAAAGTGCGTGACAGTTTTGGCCATGAAGCATGGTTAAGGTAGTCAGTTGGTCTACCACTTCCAAGCTGAATACTCAACAACTATTCGAAAGATTGCCACGAAATATCAAGATCAGGTTATGTTTGCAAGTTAATTAAATAAGTTAATTAAAGACATCCAGGTTCTGTGCACCTCGGTTTATTTCAGATTTCCCCAAGTCTAAATTAACCTCCCAAATATACACATTGGTCACACTGTCATAGTGTATATTTGAACATGCTGAGTTCGATGTTAGCTCTTTAACCTATGTAAAGCCTTAGAGAACTGTTGGCGTGGCAACGGACTTGGTCACCAGAGGAATGGTTAAATGGCGAAACAGGGAAAATGCAAAGAAATCCAGTAATTTCTACAGGTTAAAGGTTGATTTTCAGACCAATTCTGTTTTGACTGAATGTGTCCTGTGTGACAAAACACAACTGGCGTCTCAGTAAAGCCTAATAAACCCCTGCCAATAGTCAGTGAATGTTACCGTTTCAAACTGGTCTTTAAATCTCCGCCTCTGTAGCTTCACCGATGTGTTTTTTCCACTTCAGTTTTACATTTCTTACTTTAAACTGTCGTGGTTTTTCTTTCCTGTCTGCTTGGTACAGAGTGAGCTATTTAAACTTGTTCTGCAGCTGTGGTCTGTTTGGGCGGCAGAAATAGTGCTTTCTGTGTTACAAACACATCTTCAATCAGCCATGAAAGGAGAACAATCTATACTTCTTATCACCGTCTCTTTTTCTGTCCACCCTTCTTATCACGCATCTCTCACCCCCTTAATGCAGTCCCCTACTCTATGTGACAGCTCTTTATCAGAGACAACAGGACAAGCTATCACACTACTGAGCATGCCTTTGTACTGGACCTCTCCACACTGAACTCCATGCCAGGGAAGAGGAGGTGGCTCGATAAACACATGCTATAAAACACTTCAAGCCCACTTACAGGAGTATGAGAGATTTCAATTTACAGTGATTATGTAAAGACGTGAAGTTAAAGTATCGGTCATACAGCGGTTAAGTAGATGGCCAGGTGTACCCTGCCCCCGCCCTATGCCCAGTGGGATAGGCTGGATAAGCAGAGGACGACAGATTGTTGGACGCATGGTTAAGCAGACATACAGATGATACAACTACTTGGAGAAATCTTTTTACACCACAGGGAAAGGCAAGAAAGACCTATTTGGCAAGCACAGCTCTCAGTCTATAGATACTAACATGAAGGAAAATTGCTTTCTCATTATTCTCAGCTACAGACTTTGTCTGTGATAAGTTTCACTGTCCCAAACTGTGGCATACTGTCATAAAATGACTAATAAATACTAAACGCTGCAAAAAAGAACAAACACAAAGCTACAAACAAATTACCCACCAATCCCTGTTTTCTTCATTGTCTAACGTCAGCTTTTGTGTCGTGCTGTACCAAATTTGTTAGCTCTGTCTCATCTACACCGGCACGCACAGGGCGACTAACTGCTGCTGTCCTGGGGAAAAGCCAAGGACGGCTAGGACGAATAATCAACTGCATTTCCATTCTGAACTGCCACTTAATCTGCCTGCATCTGTCAGACAACTGTAAAGATAAGTTTAACCCGAGCAGTTGCTGCCAAACAGTGAGATACATTCTGAAAATCCCCATAAACATACCAGTGGAAGCCCTCCCTGAACTCCAGAGTGCATCCTTTTTTAACTGTGGCACTAATATCATATTTAAAGTGCATTTGTGAGGTTTTCTGGTGAGAATAAGACCGTTTCAGTTCAAAAAGGAACATTTGCTATGTTTGTGTAACATGGAAAGTCCCCCAAATCTCAATAGGCCAGTTCTATTTATAACCAGCAGATGCTTCCATGTGTCCTGCTTGGTTTGTACCTTTAGTGTGAGCATGAGCTCTAAATATCCAGTCAACTGTTAGGATACCACCACGATACCAACTGATAAGATCTAGTATCAATAAATTGTTGTATAGACACTGCTGTTTATATAAGATGTTGGTGTTTCGGATGTTTTTGTTGTTAAAAATGTGAGCTCTAATATTAAACCACTGTCATAATAGTTCCCTAAAATCTAAGGCGTCTAATTACAAATGTTTTAAGAAGACAAACTATCACGAAATACTAAGCAAATATTCAGACAAGAAAAAAATATGAATGAAACCTTTTTGACATCTGTAAATGAGAGTAACGCACGTCTAACCTTGGGACTCCCACGAACAGAGCACAGCAGCTTGGTGGTGTATCCCACGGTGGCGGCTCTGTCGTTGAGGGCCGTGGTGAACTTTGGAGCCTCGTTGAAGTCATGCTCCGGGTACTCAGGAGGTTTGTAGACAATACCTGTAAAGGAAGCAGCGTTCAGCCTTTATGAGCCAGATATAGTGCAGATCCTCTTTTTTACTGCATTAGGTTTAAAAGTGGAACTACTACACACATTTGCTTAAAGAATAAAACACACTGTAACACAACTATGGTAATCATCTTAATGATTTCACAGCCTATTTAAATTTATTTCAGTAATAGCAGAGCACTTGCCAAGAGAGCTATCCACTTATGTTTAAAGCAGTGCCAAGGCCATTCCCACTCCTCAAGTCTCCACTTCAGATTCTTGCAACTAACCACAGCTCAATAAAATCTAAGTATCCATTCGTACTGCAGCCGTGCCACTAAAACTTTATGCAACAGAAACAAACTGATGTGAGACAAATGAAAGTACTGTGTGCATTCAGGGGGTCACCTGTCTTCTGGATGGTGGCCACTTCCTTTGTGACAGTGCTCTTCTCGCTCATGCCCACTTTGTTTTCAGCAAACACTCTAAAGGAATACGAGTTGCCCATGACAAGGTCTGAGATGGTGGCACTTAACCTGTGATAGTGCTCCAGCACCGTGAACCATTCCTGCGTGAGACAGCAGACATCGACTGATCAGACGTGTGAAATGATAGCATGATGTGTCCTTACTGGACTGAATTCAAAAAAGTTCAAGTATACTCAGCATACTTACACATGTAATATGTGAAGTCCCTTCAAGGCCCTGCCTACACTCACACACAATCTAAACATTTATTTAATCATAAATGGCGATCGTGGCTCAAGAGTTGGGAGTTCGCCTTGTAATCGGAAGGTTGCCGGTTCGAGCCCCGGCTCGGACAGTCTCGGTCGTTGTGTCCTTGGGCCAGGCCCCTCCCCCGGTTGCCTACTGGTGGTGGTCAGAGGGCCCGGTGGCGCCAGTGTCCGGCAGCCTCGCCTCTGTCAGTGCGCCCCAGGGTGGCTGTGGCTACCGATGTAGCTGCCATCACCAGTGTGTGAATGTGTGTGTGACTGGTTGTGTAAAGTGCTTTGGGGTCCTTAGGGACTAGTAAAGCGCTATATAAATACAGGCCATTTACCATACCAGGTCACAGTGGCTGCTTTGTTGTGTAAGTTCTAATGCTGCTCGTTGTAAAACAAATACGACTCCAGCTGAAAAATGTCTTTGTTTCACTAACACACTTCAACAAAGACATTCTGGTTAGTGCATTTCTGTAAAAAGGACATTTATGTCTCGTTCCAGCTGCCTGGATGTCAGAAATTGTTGCAGAAACTGAAAAAGCATTTGTTTTGGTTTTAGCAAGGTTGAGTCTTTCATGCATCTCTACCAATACAGCACAATACCTGTGCTTTTGCTCTGAAAAGCACCGCTGCAGCACATCCCCGAATAGTGGCTGCTCTGCAAATGTCTTATTAGCAAATCACAAATACACAACAGGGGCTGTACAAATGAAAAGATTTAGATATCCACTACTGGTTACATTCACTGCCGCCATCTTTGATCGTTAACTCCTGCTCTGAATTTCCGAGTTGGAAATCCCAAAATCCCAGTTGAGGAGACAACCCAGATGAAACTGTTATTGGGAACTTGTTAATTCTGACTTCAGAGTTAATCTGAAATTCACCAATAATACAGAACCTTTATAAAACAGACCAATATGCTGCAGTAAGGCTTCACTCTGACTGCATCATATTGAATGAAACACTGAAAACAGAGTTAAATGCACATAAATGTGCATCTTTCTGTGTCGTGTTAAAGATGCCAACACTTGTGGGGCAACTCGACCTCAGACTATGAATAGAAAGTGATGCTCTGGGTTTGTGAGATTCATGTCAACATTACTGATCTGGTGTAACAGATGGGTTTTGTGCAGTTTGAGTAAATCTCTACTATACCCCAGTCTTCTTGTCAGCTTTCTGGACAGTGTATCCAGTGATGTCTGTGTTGCCATTATCCTTGGGTGGAGTCCACTCCAGAGCAGCATTGAAGCCCCAGGCATCCACCAGCTTTATACTAACAGGAGGACCAGGGCGCTCTGATGAAACACATTACTGTAAGCATCACGGTATTACAATCATAATGAGAAAACCATCTATTTAAACTGTATGTATTTTAAGCAGTAGCTGGCACAAGGCTCAAGCACTCTGGCATCTTTGTCAGAGATGTCATTTATGTTGGCTAATACCCAGAGAAAGTCACAAGTCTAGAAACACGGAAGTCAACACGTCAGCTGCAAAGCCAGCTGAGCAGATTTAACAGGAAGGCCTCGCGTGAATCAACAGTTTGACACGCTCACATATTCCTTTGTGTAAATGAGATTGTTTTATGTCTCATGTGTCACTCACCCACAATCTGAAGGGTAATTGTGCCTTTATCTTCAAAGCTATCCACTTTTAGGGTCATCTCATAAACACCAGAGTCCTCCCTCTGAGCGCCGCGGATGAACAGGATGCTGTCCTTGTCACTGTTCCTGATATTGACCTTCTTGGTATCCACAGGCTGACCATCTTTAAGCCAGGACACTGCAGGTTTAGGCTTTCCCTAAGGAGTTGAAAACGAGAACGGTTAAAAGCAAAATAAACCGAAGTGTTCAAAAATGCATCTGTCAGCCTTTTATGTTTCCTCACTGACTAATGCAGTGGATGTGCACACAAGCCAGCTTACAAGAAACGGGATGACGAGGTTGATCTGCTCTCCGACTTTCTTGACATAGCGGGACCTGAGAGCCCGAGGCAAGCGGATCTTGGGACGGTCTGCAAAGTCAAATCAAGCATGTTTATTTTTCACCTCGTCCGTCTTCTACAGTCTGACTGAGCAGCTTTGCTGCTGATTTACTGAACAGTTAACATTCCATGCTAACAGCATAAAGCACGGTGTATACACATCCTGTCAGACTCTTTAAAGTGTGCTCACACATGCATATAATGGCAGGTCAACAAGATCTAAATAGAGCAGCTACTGCTGCTGCAAAGTCTACAAGAACATGATTGAACAGGATAAAATTAACCCACAACAGTTTTAACTATGCAAATTCATGACAGAAAAATAGTCACAGCAGCCGAGAAGCCGACAGTCTGAATATGTATTTAACTTTAGAAAGAGCAATGACTATAAAGTGGAAAATGCACTGTTAGCAGGACAAAACAAACTAATTTGAAACAGCGATGTGTGCGAAACGCATACAATTAAAAACTAACTTGATCATCAAAGATTTTTTAAAAAGTCAGCTCGTCGCACTTTCACTTCAGTTTTTCAATGTAAAACATTTCCTTAAAAACATAAAAAACAAGCTAACATGAAATCTTTTCCATACTGATGCAAGTAGACCTGATACATCGTCACACTCAAGCCACCGTTTAAGTGCTTATGCCTCATGACCCAGTTTTGCAGGACCAAACAAAACAAAACAAAAAATGAGGTGAAATCTAAACAAAGGTTCTGTGTGCTTAAAGAAAAGTGCAGTATCTAGGCAGGAAGAGCCGAACAAGTAAGAGCCTCAAACCAGCAGCTCCTAAAATAGCTTTAGTGACAAGAAAGACTGAACCCTGAAAGCACAGCCCTCACGTCGTGCCCAAAGGAACCACAAATACATGTCAACGCTTTCAGCTGAGCAGTGGTTGCGATATCACGTCTGCAGACGACTGCAGCAACTCCTGATGTGAATTAAAATCAAACAGGTGAAGTTGCATCGCAGACATCTAGCTGGGCTCTGTTGGATGGTTTCCTTCACGCCAAGTGCCAAGTATCAGGAACAGCATCTCTCACATGTTTCTGCATAAGCAGCAAATGTCTGAAAAGCTCTGTGGGCTTAGAGGATAAATAAAACCACCAGGCTCCTGCCCTCCCTCACCTCATTCACCCCCCTACAGCCTGCTTCTCCTAATCCACTCAAACTACCCTCCCATTGGGCACCACATCCACTTCCATCTTCTTCTAGCTATAAGAGTGTTTACATCTTCTCCTTCTGATGCACTAAATCTAACCTGATATCTTGCCTTCCTGTTCTTACATTTGTCACCGTATCATTGCTTCTCAGGATGGGATCTTGCTTCTGGAACAACCATTTCCCAAGTAGATCAGGGCTGCCTCCAGATTTGGCTCAAACACTAATCCTTGCTAATCAGCACACTTCCCAGCAATGCCCCGAAGTGTTGCAGGCATTGTGGCATCCAGCAGCCTGTAAGTCCCCCCTGCAAGGAATCTATAATCTGCCATTGTCTCCGGATAAAATGTCTTTGTAGGGGGCTTTCAGCATATGTAGGACAGCATGTCTTCCTCTAAAGCTTAAACCTGTGGATGGGTGTCTGGTCCGGACAGCTTGTGACTGACACACAGCTGAATTTAACCTCAACAAGCCATACAGAATCCAACAATTAGGCTCATGTTTCACCAACCAGGAAATACGCCTAGAGACAGTAAGCTGTGGGTAACTGGGGCATGTCAACTCAGGTCGGCACTACGTCAGTGTGTGGGTTCAGAATCAGAACTACGGAAAATAAACCAACTGTGGTTTAAACCACAGAAAAAGTACTGTGAGCGAAGTGTGGTGACAAGAGAGTCTCTGTGTATTCTGGAGCTGTACTTCTCAGTACACAGCACACCACAATAGTGAAGCAACAGTTAAAGTGAGGAATTTTACAAAGGTCATAATAACCATCAGCCAGATTTTTGCATTTTTAACAAGAATGCATTGGTCAAAGGGGAAAGAATAGTCGTTGATGCAATCGTAAGCAAAAAGGCTGCATCCATTATTAGTTATATAGTACTAGGCAGTCTCTTTTTGTGCTTGGAGTCAAATGCTTTAACACGTTTCCCATGGTAGTCATGCTAATATAACAATCTCAGGGAAGGCATGTTAATATTTGCTAATGAGCCTATTTGGGCCTGGTGCAAACGCCTACTTACTTCTAGCTAAAACCGTGTTTGGCCTTTTTTTGAGTAAACTGTGGCCCAGTGATAAGTAAATGAAAGACTGTTTCACACACACAGTTCATGAATGAATGTACCAAACTGTATCAGTAATACAGTACTGTGCAAAAATCTCGAGTCAGCCTTCAGTTTGCTTTCTTGAGCAATAATTATCGAGTCTTTCAAAGATTTAGAAAGACACAAAAAGTAACACAAAGGTCAAAGATAACACAGTTTGGTAGACATAAAATTGTATTTTTGCACCAACAAGGTGATTTATGGAGAGCAACCTCTCACGATACCTTAGTAAGATTTTGATCCATCACACATTAGTATCTGTAAAACATCTCTGGCAGCACTGCCAGTAATGTAAAAGCATTCCTGGATAGAAAAACAGACAGTGGAACACTTTCAGTCATGGACTCAACCTCAACATGACTGAAGCAGTGTGTGATCAACTTGACTGAGAGCAGAACAAAAGGCAGCCAACGTCCAAAGAACAGCTGGATGTCCTTCAAGAAGCCTGGATTCCTGAATAGTACTCACAGAAATTACACGAACGTTTGCCTAACAGAGTTTAGGCTGCGTTGAAGAATAAAGGTGCTGATAGCAAATACTGACTTTTAACCTTGTTAGAATTGTGCAAACTCTGTTTTTGCTTTATATGCAGTGTTTACATGTATGTGTGGATATTTCAATAAAATGCTGCAGCTATTTCCCATTTTCCTAGCAAATTGCAAAGAAACAAGGGGCGGCTTTTGTACATTACGGTATATTAAGTGATATCATAGTCTGGACCAAAGCTGCAAACTGATTCAAAGTGATTTAGTGCAATTTAGTTTTATATTTATTCAGTTATATTTAGTTATATATTTTCATGGATGTATAAAATGACAGGGACATTCTGTAAATTGAAAGTGTACCAACCAGCAGTCTTGACTGAAGATGTGCGTACATGCAAATGAAAGCATGACTTACAGCTAATGAAAGCTCTTGTCAGCACCTTTGCGATTTATGTGCTTGCATCTGTGCAATCCATCTGAGGCACCGGCAGTTAATACCACCTCTACCTCACTGGTTGTAACATGAGTATTTTAAGGATAGGTCATAAGTTACAACTATGTTAGAGCTCCTGATAAAGAGTTGGAGACAGTCCTTTTACCAGGTGGCTGCACAGCAACGGAGAGCTTCGTAGTAAGGTTCTGGTGCGGGACGTCTTGTGCAGAGATGAACAGCGTATTCTCTGTGTTAATTCTCACTATGAAATAGAAATTCTCATTGTACTGTGCAAGCAAGCTTTGCGTGGTTCCTTCTCCAAACAGAATAATGTCACGGGAGCTTAGCAACAAAGGTTTGAAGAAACCTTTTAGGAATTATGAGACGTTTTTAGAGTTGGTTTGACACTTTCTACGAAGACTAACTTGTAAGTGTGTTATGTGATTTTAGACTGTTTTTAAAAAAAAGCTGTCCAAAAAAAGACAACTTTGCTGGAAGCTGCCTGATAGTGAGGTGCAATAATGACTCACCAACAACCTCGCGGATTGGCACAGGGTCAGCGAGTGTTCCAGGTTCGCTGCGGCCACCGGGGTTTACAGCCACCACGCGCACGCGCAGCAAATCACCCGCTTTCAGATTTTTGATGCAGTATCGGTTAGCTGCAGTCAGCTCCTCGTTAGCTACAACCCAGTCTGTTGCTGTTGGGAAACCAAGGATCTGTGTTAGTGAGAGGCTTTCAGGGTCATTATTCCATATTATGAAAAGAATGCAAACTGTCCGCTTTTTCTCCTGATGGTTTTTTATTTATTGCAATTTTCCTGAATGTTAAAAACTCCTCAATTAAACTTAAGTGGTTTATCACCTGTTGACACCAGTTTACAAACAACCTGCCCATAAGAAGTATACTTTGGCTACCGTGACGAAATCTCAGAAGGCATGCCGTCATCTGAGCAAATGAGTGCTTCTAAAAGTGGTGTCGGGAGATACAGCGACAGCCGGTAAACTGATGCCTGCCGTATACGGCCCGGACCCAGCAATGAGTATATTTGCCCTCTGACACGCTGGGGACAGGTGCAAGCAAACACTCTCACATACATGTGACACACATATGCAGACTTACTTCCATCCTTGCAGTACTCGATGGCGTATCCATCCAGGCCCGAGTCTCCGATGGTCTCTGGTGTCTTCCACTTAATGGTGAGACTGGAGTCGTTAACATCATCCACAGACACGTCCAAAGGAGCACTGGTGGGGACTGTGAGAGGTTTAGTGCAGTGAAGCCTGATAAAGCATTCTTAATATAGACAAAACAGTTAAAAGTACACACATAATGGGATAATTAGCAAGATGCTTTACATTCTAATGCATAAATGTGTGGAGCTGCAACTCAGTTATTTTTATTGATAATTATTATGGAAGATTTTTCTCATTTTCACAATGAATTATTAGAAAAACTGTCAAACAATATGTTGATACAAGATCTGATTTAAAGCCAAATTCATTTATCATTTCCAGCTTTTTAAATAAGAGGATCTCTTTCTTTACATACAAGATAAAAGTGAATATAACTGTTTTAGGAGATTAATGCTACATCTGACACACAGCAGGATCAGATGTTAGTGTTACCTGCAGGAGGTGGTGGTGTGGGGGCCTTAGGTGGCTCCTCGACTACAGCAGGTTCCACTGGAGCAGCTAGCAAGAAAAAGGAGAATATTTACATTTTTATAAGCAAATACAAGAAAAAAACCTGGTACTTATCCACAGTATTTTTTCTATACAGCAGCATTCAACGATGCAAATGTCCAAACCTTTGAACAAAACTATTTTACTGCAGAGAAAAAGGCATCAGGAAGTTACCTTCTCACAGATTGGGAAAGTCATGATGGGAAGTACTTGTTTCTAATAACGATAATGTTTACCGTCTGCCGGAGCATCTGCAGCAGGAGCAGCAGCAGCATCTTCAGCGGCAGGAGCTGTAGCGAGCATTAAAACGCCGTTAGGGAAGCCAGTTAGATATGAACAATTTAACATTATTAATGCAGGTAATTGAACGTTTTTAGGCATTTTGATAAACTTACAGTGATGTGAAAAAGAAAGTTTTCACAGAACCTTCTGTGAAAACTAAATGTGTGTCATATTACAGGACCACCTTTAGAAGTGATAACTTGAAGGAATCCTTGACTATCAGTGTCTTGTGGAGGACTTTTTGCCCACTCTTCTTTACGCTGCTTCAGTTCGTTGCAGCGTGGTTTTGTTTATGCACAGCTCTCTTAAGCTCCTGTCCAGCATTTCATTCGTGCCGAGGTCAGGACTTTGAGCGGACCATTGCAACGTCTCGATTCTTTTGCATGCTGTGTTTGTCATAACGCACAGCACCACATTTGGGAAAAGCCAAAGCATCTCTACTCTGGAACAAATACATTGTTCCAGAAGTCTTGTGGGTTTTTTAGATGCTACTTAGCAAGCCTAAGATGAGCTGCCAAGTTCTTCTAAGAGAGAAGAGGCTTTCTTTTGGCAACCCTTCCAAACAAGCCTAATTGTACTGTCATGAACTTTAACATTTAATATGTTAATGTGTTGTTTGGAATTTATCTAAGAATTGCACAGTCTGACCTTGGGGTGAATTTGGCATCCACTCGTGAGACCATTCTCGCATTGTGTTAACACAAGCATCTGAATGCTCCACACCAGTCAGCTGCCAAAACTGCTGCTTTTATAGAGGTGCTCAGACTTGCGAATGATCAGTTAACCAGCATTTGATTACCAGAAACCTGCTGCTCTTTACCCTCTTCTTTCCTTTGGAAACTGTTCTTTCCAAACAAGTGCACAGAGTCCCACAAAAGCTTTTTTTCACATCACTGTATACTCTACTGAGCAAGCAGCAGGAAAGAGCAGTGTGGGTACAGCTGTGTTAGAACAAACAGGTGACCAAATGTCCACAAACAAAAACCTCAGCAGTTAAGAAAGGCAGAAGATGAACACACAAACACATTTACAGACAGAAACACAAGAAGTGCACAGTGGAACACAAACACGTTGCATATCAGCTTGCATATGTGTGCGGACAGCCTGTGGTGTAAGTTTACTCTTAGTAGCTGTTGAATCTCCTCTGTCTTCTGTCATATTGCCATCAGTTAAGGTTAAAGGTCATGTGTCGAGGTTTAAAGCCAAAAACACATTGAACCAATTCTTCATTTTATTAGAGTATTGATACAAGAGGGTAACTTGTGATCCAGCTTTCGTTTCAGTCTGCAAAAAGGCTTCAGGCGCTGGTGTTTACAGTTAATGTGTGGTCAACTTGGGGTAAATTACTGAACAGGAGTAGAAGCACGAGAGATTTGTTTTTAAAGAAATGTGTTGTACTTTGCTTATGTAGCACACACTGTAGTTTACAGTGTTCAAGTTTCAGATTGTAAAGTAAAATTTAAAACACTACACAATGTTTTGCAAATCCTTTCAACACTAAATTATATTTAAAATAGTACAAAGACAACATATTAAATGTAAAAAAATAAGAAATCCGTTTGCTTTTTGAAAAAACTGTTTGTGTAACTTGTTGGAGGGACATCTCCCAACTAATAAGGCTCTCCACAAAAATGTCACCATGCCAACAAATTCAAGTCGCATGCAAAACAAAATGCAAGATCTAGAAAATCAGCTGCGTTTTCTTAGCTCAGACACATTTAGGTCTTTTATCTGTGACCTGACAAACTGAGATTAGAGGGTTTTGTTTTTTTGTTTTGTTTTTAAAATTATGAGTATTTTTAAAATTTACTCAGATTTAGAGCAACAAATGTTGCCATTCAGATGACATCATTTTCAGGGAAAGCCTTGCTTATGTCGGCAACACATTCCCCACATATTACAGCAGCATAGCTCTGTATTAAAGGGTCCCAAATGGCCACGCCAGCAGTCCACACCTGTCACCTACTTAAAACATATGAAAGAAAAAATATGACAAAGGAATGCTGAACTGTGGAACAGCTGAAATCCTACAGCAAGTAAGAATGGAAACCATATGGCTTGTAAAACCATTAAAACTAGAGCAACTGGTCTTCTCAGTTCCCTGTCACTTATAGAGAGAGCTGCTTAGAAGGGAAGGTTTCTGCTCTAAATCGGTATGCTTGGTCTCGTTCAGGTTTTTCTTTTAAGTTTTCCTGGAATTCACATCCCAACTTTGTGGAAAGGGGAGAGTGGGGGTGTTGCACGTGTACTCGGATCCACTGCTAGTGCAGGCTGTAAATTATGGCAGCCTTGCTCAAAGTAAGTACTTGTAAAAAATAATGACAATTGTACTGTTACTACTCACTTGATACAATTAGGAAGCACTTTGTTGCACTGCATTCACTTTAGTTTTGATCACTGGCTTTAGGGTGCTTCAAAGCTGTCTGATGCAACAAAAGCGTAGAACTTCCTAACTTGGGGGAGAAAATGTCTGCTTATATTCTTAATTAAATCAAACACTGTTAAACACGAGAGCTACCCACGCATAGTCACGGTTAGTAATATTAGCTTGCAACTCTACTCCGTTCCCAAGAGTCTATCGAGATACCGGGAGCGTCTTCTGCTGGAGGGGCGGCAGCTGCTTCTGCCTCGGCTGCGGGAGCTTCAGCAGGTGCGGCCTCGGCAGGTGGAGCCTCCACGGGTGGAACGGGCTCAGGTGCCTTCTCCGCAGCCTTCTTGACTGGTGACTTCTTGATAGGTGCAGGTTTGGCCGGCATCTTGCAGGCGGACGCGAACTCCTCGGGATGAGGCGGTGGAAGAGTCTTAGGTAACATATATACTGAGGGCTGGTGGGCTGCTCCACCCATCCCCATGACTTCTACACCCGCCTACCCACTTAAGCCACATCTTCTATGGGAAGACTGAAGGTAAAGAAATATAAGGAGAAAAAAGTTGTGTACCTTTAACTCAGGTAACACACCTGTCGATAATTAAACTGATAATTAAGAAACCATCAAATACATCAGAGCGGTCCTTCAACTTAATTGAGTAGTGGCCCATTAGCACCCCCTAGTGGATTATAAAGAAACAAGTAGAAAACAGGTAGTGATGTGATGAATGGCATGACTTTATTGTAACAACTGCTCAATGTTAGACATATGGGATTCAATGTGGTTATAGAGACATGCCATACAACCTTTACCGAGCCCACTTTTAAGCTAAGTGCTCCTTCCTGCTGGAGGAAGACAATACAACCACAGAGGACGCTCATTTTCTGCATACGCGGGCCCAACTTTCTCTTAGATCTCTTAAGTGATTGTTGTCGCAGACACAGTGACTATTTACAGTGTTTACAATAGTGATGTAATGTACAAAAGAGGAAAAACAAAACATCTTTACAAATATTTGCATAAGAAAAAACACAAAAACCCCCCACGTCTGCTCTTAAAAACAATGTGAAAAAGAGGAAGATATCCAGTTATTTAAAAATCCCTCCCGTGATAAGGTTTAAGTGCGGTAGGTCCAATGAAAGGAAACTTTGGGAACACACCAGGGATACATGCATCAACATCACATCTCTAGGCTTGCATCTGTTCTCACGCAGCTTCCCATTTCTCAGGCAACTCCCCAATGACGACAAGACCTTCAAGCTTAAGTTGAAGATGGTGTCAAATCGTGCAAAGCAGCCTAGTCATGATACACATTCGCATTAACTGCAGTTTACTGACACACACATCATCTTAACTTACAGCTTATCACATAACTGCCTGTCAAAGGCTCCAAATATATCGATAACCCACTCGAAACCCAAATTTGGGCATTAAAGTGATGACATGGAAGTGACATCAGAGTAGGTCAGTGGAACTAGTTATGTTCCCTCTAGATCGAGGCCTCTGTGTGGTAGATCAAAGCAGCTTTTTAGGCCAAATTGTGTTTCAGGCACAGATAGACTTAGGCATCGTGCCTCTACTTTACAGCAGTAGAGGAACATGTGGGCAGAGTATGGCAGTCTGAGGTACTTCAGGGTCAAGCTAAGGGGTTTAAGAGTATCCCAGCAACCTACAGTTCCCTCCTCTTACACCGCTCTTTATACTTTCTCACTTTATCTCAGTTAACAGTCAAGATGTGAGCAATAAATACTGTCATCTACTACCTCTAGCATATTTCATGTGCAAACCAATGAAGAAACAAAACGGGAGGAAGTCACATTTAAATATTAATCAGTCTTTTCTGACGGTAACTCAAACCATGTGAGAAAAGGAAACTGACAATTAGCAGAAAGTCACGTTTTAATCAAAAGATGGAAGTAAAGGAAAGGAAGGAAAATGTTACGGCTATTTTTTGCTAGTTTTCTGCTTCAGGGATGATGACACAGGTGATAAACGTCGGCATACGGGCGATCACTGAAGATGACTCGGTACAAAAAATCCTACAAAATCAAGACTTTGAGAGCTGTGTCGTCAGCTATTACAAGAGAAGTCTGTGTTTTAAAACTGATATCTAAATACAGAGTATACGCAAGCATAGCCAGAAACGGTGCTCAATAAACAAGCAGGTCGTGGGTGTTTTTTTCTTCAATTTTTTTCTCTCTCTGTGTTTATAATTCAGTACATCGACTTCCTGTGGTTATAATATCAGCATAACACTGGTTACTGAGTCCACGTATGATGACATTCTCTTTACAGACTCAACCCAAAATGAAATCATCACTCGTTTCAGTTTTCACCTCATGCACGTTGCTCTTTGCAGCTTCGCAGTTCTGTTTATTCGATAAATGACAAAATAGCAGAACTGAAAAGAAGAAAACATTCAAGGCCTTTTTCATAGTTGTGTTTTTGAGTGTGCGTTATGTTCTACCAAGCACCTTTAGTGAGACTGAAAGCGCACCATGAACAGGAGAGAGGCAGGAATCAATAGATGCTGCCATCTGGAGGATTTACTAGTGAACTGCATGATTTGGCCAAGCCGATCCCCCCATTTGATACACAGTCACTGACACGGCCTCCTAAAATCCAATTATTGCAAGTAAAAAAATAAAGTGCATTTTGGCTGTAGTCAAGTGCTGGTCCTACTTTTTGGGGAGTGATCAGACTGTTTTTCTGTAGTCTGCATTCCTGAAATGACGCATGTGCCTCCAAAATAAACCTATAAGCACCAATAGTTGTTGTGAGGGAAAAAAAACAAAAACAAAGGGAACAAATATTCAACGGGGTTATAGGTAATATTTTGTTTTATACTATTTTGGTCACCATGCACTTGCAGATTCAACAACAGCCCATCTGATACCAGCTGAGAGCAGAAGGGAGAAAAGACACCATCTTTCCCCGCCGTGATCATCGCAGCTTCCTGTCAAAGCGGTTTCATCATCTTTCCCATGTTCAGATATCCGGGAGGAGCAAACCCATTGTCCACTGTCCATAATCCTCCTACTCCCTCTCTCTGTAGATTCTTTACATTAGCTTTGTAACTGCTCACTGAGCACACATTAAAGTTCATCTTGGAGTCTTTAAATTCTCATTTGAACTGCATTTGTGAGAGCCGCGCTGTAGAGTCGACAGTTCCTTAGCTTTATCGACAGTCTACTCAGAGTGTAGCCTGCAGAGTGGGATCAAGACTGCCTTCCCTCTCTGGAGACTCTATGCAGTTGGCCGACTCCTGGAGCTTCAGCAGCATGGCCATCTGTGGAGCAGGAGGAGAGACAGAAGAAGAGTTAGCTACAGAGAAGATTGCTACACATGTGTTCTCCCCCTGTGCTTAGATTTGGCTTTGCATATATGAAATATGGCTTGAAATAGAGATTAAGTTATTCTACGTTTAATCCAATAACTGCTCTGCCAGCGTTTTTGACTGTCTTGTAATCAGGCCCTCCTTTCTTATGTGTTTCTAATGCTAAAGACATATTTTCTGTGTCAGAATAAAAGGACTCAGTTGAGGAAACAATCGCAGGAAATTCAGTACATTCATTGAGAATTTAGTACTGATAGACAGTTTTAAACATTCCTGTGAGTATAGAGCACGATGGCCCAGTTACAGTGAGCTGCTAGATGAGGTGTTGCAGGCTCTACACCAGGGGTCCCCAGTCCACGAGGGCCGGTGTCCCTGCAGGTTTTAGATCTCACCCTGGGTCAACACACCTGCATCACATGATTAGTTCATTACCAGGCCTCTGGAGAACTTCAGGACATGTTGAGAAGGTAATTTATCCATTTAAATCAGCTGTGATGGATCAAAGACACATCTAAAACCTGCAGGGACACCGGCCCTCGTGGACTGGGATCGGGGACCCCTGCTCTAAACTCTCCACACCTTTCGCAACATGAACTTTTTTTTGCACCATGGTCAATTAATTGACAGTCTTATTGAAACAATGTCAATTTGTTTGTATTCCCGGCAATATTCTCCACTCTCAGCAAATCAAAATGGACTAAAGCACATCTAGGCACAAAAGAAACTAGAAAAATTTGCATTTCCTGCGAAAATGCTGTGTGGATGCCTTAACGCTGAAGATGTCGGCTGAAAAAAGCTGAAAAAGTTGAAAAAAACAAAACAAAAACAAAACATTGCCCTGAGCAGGATTCAAACCTTTTGGTTTCAAGGCGGCGACTCACCTCACTGCGCCAAACTCATTCTCACAAAGAAGAGGTGGAGAGACTGACAATTCTGGTGAAATTAGCAGAAGCTGCTTAGAATTGTGCTGATAAGAGGTGAAAAGGCTAAACGTTTTGCAGAAAAGAGGTGAATCAGAAGAATTTCTGCTGAAAAGAGGTTTTTGCTGAAAACAGCTGAAAAAGCTGGTATTTGTGCTGAAAAGGGGTGAAAAAGTTTAACTGTTAACTGAAAGAAATGTTGCCATAAGCGGGATTTGAACCCGGGCCTCCCAGTCTGAGAACGGACGCTTATCTCACTGAGCTAAAACACAGGTCAACCCGGCGAGGAAAATCAGTGAGGCCACTGATAATATGGCAGAAATGGGCAAAAAATATTGCAAAAAAAATTTCATTATCTCAAAAAGTATAGAAGTTATGAGCACCAAAAGTCATAGCACCCATTAGCAGAAACAGCAGAATTTTTTAAAGTTTGAACGGAGAAAATCGGCTGAAAACTGAGGGAGTAGTTAAGGTCCAAAAAGGTACGGAAGCAACTTGCAGAATAAAGAAACAGGATCTCAATAGTGTGGATGCATCCACACTATTGAGATCCACTCACCAGTGGGTCTGACTCCAGTGTGCTGGGTGGAGGTGTGTCTTTAGGAGGCTTCTTCTCCTCACTGAGTGGACCTATGCTAGGAGGAGGTAGGTGAAAGAGCCTGGACTGATCCTGCTGTGCGTTGGGCCAGGGGAGGGTGCCTCTCACCCACTCGACCGGATCCTCCCATACTGATTTATGCCCATGGACCTGACAGGAAGACAAGTCCACAGTGAAAACAGTATTGTTATAGAGGGGGTTATTGTTTGTTCCACTACTGTTATATTTTGGAAATGTGTGCATGTTCACCTTAATGCCATCTTTGGCTCCTTCCTGCAAGTACGGTATGATCGAGTGGTTCCACAAGTCAATGAACCACTGCCTGAACTCCGCCACTGACACTGGGCATGACAGGAAAAAGCAGGGACCTGGAGGAGGCAGGGTTTTTTGTTAACAGGTCTTTATCATAACAACTCTCTCCCAAGTACCCAAGTCGGACTTTGCTCACTCTGTCTGCTAATATCTCACCTATGAGGAAGTCTGAAGTGCTGTGTTTCTCCAGGAAGGCGTGCAGATGGTACCAGAGCTGAGGGATCCAGTCGAGAACCTGGAGGAGCTCCTGGTGGCGTGCCAAGTCCTGCTCCTGGTCCTGGTAAGCCTCTACAGCTTTACGGTGCAAGTACCTCAGCAGAAACCCATTTGCTGGTTCTACGTTGTTGGAGAACATCACCATCCTGTGGCCACATGCAAGAAACACTTACTTTCTGCGTAAGAGTTAAACAGGGTCACGGAGTATGCTTCATCCAGTCCTCTGCCTACCTGAAGCTCAGGTGCAGCCCATGGTTAGACGTCATTTTCACAGGTTGATTGGTCGTTCCAATTATGTACGGACTGAAACAGCAACAGAGAAAATCTTGTTACTCTTCGATTAAGCAAATCTTATTGAATTCTTTGGTGAAACAGAGTAATTCTCAAAGTCATTTACCATTTGTGATACTTGCAGGTGAGCGCTCCATTAACAAGCTCAGTGATGGCCGCTGAATCGCTAATATCATCGATGATAACGACCAGGGGAAGTTCCCCTCCACACTCTCTGTCAATCTGATTTGCTAGATCTGACAGATACAACTGCAGCTCCTGTTAAAAGGTGAATACATATTTTCATACTTGCTTGTGAAAGAATAAGAAACAAAAAAACCACCAAAAATCCTTAATCAGGTTTTACCTTCTGTGATTGACGGTGCATGTTGAAGGTGATAGCAGGGCTGCGACCCAGGAGACCGGGCTCGTGGCCGGCTTCAGTCGAGTCAGTGCGGCTGCGCTGCAGGAGGTAGTGGGCCAGACGCTGAGCTAGGTAAGTCTTTCCTGTCCCGCTGGGCCCAGACAGAACAAGGCGCCTGTGCTTCATCAGCAGGCTGATATAGTGCAGCATCATGGGCTTAGGAATCAGGGTCTCAAACACCAGTGAGTCAACACATTTTTCCCGGAGACCTGAAGAGTTTCAGACACAGAGGGGAGGATGAGCAAGACGATGTATGTAGCACTTATGAGTAACTAAACTGTCTAATTTTATACTAGATCCAGTACTTAAACAAATTACATCAGTTGGTCTAGGTCTCGGGGGGCTTAACCAACATGAAAATAGTCATTTTAGCCCCCCCAACCTAACAATAGAAGAGGAGCTTTTTTCTGTCAAAGCAGGAACCACAGTGAAGGTTTGTCTTGCCAAACCCTGGTCCAGATAAACCATCACATGCTTTCATTACATTCCCAAAGTCCTGCTTTTGTCTTGTGGCTATTTAATAGCACTCTGGCATCCACGACCCTCGAGCCAACCATTTTCATTTACAAAATAGGCCTCAGATTACACTAAAAATATGTGTAAGATTCCTGGAGACTAGCACCATGTAAAAGTTAAAAAGCTGCATGTAATTCATTTAAGAAAATAGACGTCAATAAGAGTTTTGAATACAGCGTTTCAAAGCAAAACAAACTGTTTTCAGCTCCATTTTTATTCATACTGTGCAAATATTGCAACAACTTTTACCTCGAGCTGCTTTGTATTCAAAGATAACAATACAAATAAACCCAAACAATCAAAAAACTCCATGTGAAGCAAGCACGAGCACAGGAAAAACTCTGACCACTCCACTCCAGCCAACTCTGGGAGGGGCAGCCATCCGCTGGTGAGAGGGGGGGGGGAGACAGGACATGGAAAAAAGCACTGAATGCACTTATATCTGCTAACCTTTCAAGGTGACAAAAATACGAGCGGGACCATTGCCAAGACATCGATAAGGTGAGCCTTGGGGTTTGTCCCCCCCAATCACCCTCAGCCTGCCCTGGGTAAACTGGTACATGTGCAGGGAGTCACTGGTCAGACCCAAGCTGGCTGTCGGGTCCACTTGACTTAAATAATCCTAAACAAAGAATAAATATATCACAGTTAAAAGTTTACGGTTGAGCAAACAAATCGCAGCCGGGCTACTGAACCACAAATGTCCACTCAATAAAAAAGGAGGCCAGATTTACAAGACTTACTTTGAAGGTCTCGGCTATGAGGGAGTCCAGACAAGGCCAGTCAGTCCTCGCATTAATCAGCACTGAGCCAAGGTAGTACTCCTGCTGCTGCTTGTCCTACAGAGAAGAAACAGACGCTTAATTTCCAGAGTGTCCAGTTAAAGCTCTTGACATTATCGGACATTGTGAGTAATAAAAGTGTTCCACGTCTACCTCTGTTTGGTCTCCGATACGGACCAGCAGACGTGCACACACTTCTTCACGCTGAGAAGACACGCTTAGCGTGTCACCTTGAGACGCTTCTGCAAGAGAGGAGGAAATGAGGAGGAGATGCACGCTGCACTTCTTTATGAGGTAAACATTGTTTTAAGGCTTTGTTAGTCTCTGACCTGGATCTTTACAATCATTCAGACTAAGGCTGAAGGATTTGGTGAGGGACATGCTCATTGGCTGCCTCAGAGAGGGCCCCAGGAGGGACGCCAGGCCTGAAGGCTGGGATGTGGAGGAGGTGGGGCCAGAGGCAGGGAGGTGATGCTGGGTTCCTGTTTTTAAATTGACATTTTCTGCCTTCAGGTTCTCCACCGTCGACTGAAACATGAGCATAAAGCTTTAAATTGTAATAACAGCTTTGCAGGTAACTGAACAAAGACACGTGCAGTAGGCAAAACAAACCTGCATGTTTTTCATGGCTTCTCGGAGCTGCTCAAGCTGATGTGCAGAGTCTAAGGCTTCAAGTCGAATATCTGTCAGTTCCCTCTCTTTCACCCAGAGCTCTGAGCGCAGCTCTGATACGGCGCTTTCCTCGCCGTCTCCCTCTTCTGTACTTTCCATGATCCTGGAAAAAGCCAAGCAGCCCTTATAAGAAATTTTCATAGACGAAAACTGCACTGCTGAGCTGTGCGGTGGAGTAGGTGTTGTGTACTCACACAGAGGAGGTGGCTGAAGCTGAGGTTTTGAGGGAAGGCAGCATGCCGTCTCCTCCTTCTCCCCCTTCATGAGGCATCTTGGGAGAGTTAGGAGCTGAGGAGTCGGGGGTGGCAATTTCCTCAATGTCAGAGTATGTTTTGGAGCCTTTCTTAATGCTGAATGCTTTGTTGAAGGAGCTCCTCAGCTACATAGAAACAGAAGAGATAAACTGATATAAAACAGTCAAACGATGACTTCACATGACTGCATTCATAACTGGAAAGAAAAAAAAGAGGGAATAGTTAGAACCGTTAATGTGACACATGCTAAGTACAAAGAGTATAAAAAATAAAGGAATAGTTTGTCATTTTTCACTGCAGATAAAAGCCAAAACCCCCCAATCTGTCAAGTATAGTTTCATTTTATATAGAATGAATAAACGAGATATCATCATGTGCATTTGTAAATCTCACAGAGCAGAATATTTGTACCTTTGTTTTAAACCAAGCAGCTGGTGTTAATCAAAAACAAAGAGCCTTCCCCAAAATGACAAACTACCGCTTTGAACTTTCAGTCGTTTTCTGCACTGAGTCCAAGCTCCAATCCGTTTTCTGCACTTAGATTTAGCAGCTGGTTTAGTGAGGGTTACATGGTAAAAGAAAAAGTCATGTATTCTCTTACACAGGGACAAAATACAGGATAAAGTATGAGGTAGCAGGGGAGAAACATAACTGAAAGATGCGTTAAATAAACTCGATTAAGCCTGAGCGCTTCGCTTCTTACGGAACATCATTTCTGCTGCTAGCCGCTCTAACCGAATTACGGCCATCTATTCAAATTAAATGGTCACATGAGGCAGCCAATCAGCAGAGATGGAGGGTACTCGAGGACTGTGTTGCACTTTTAGATGGTCCATCATGCTGTATGACAGGAAATTAGAGGTTTTATAGAAACACAGTGACTGAACTCACCTCGAAGACCTAAAAGAGCAGAATAGCACAACACAAAGGAGGGAAAGACTGGTCATACTTCATCCACGCTGCTTTGTCATTTTCATTAAGGAGAACAGACACAGACCATGCAGTGAGAATAACATAAAGCCTCGCAAACAGCTCCTACCCAGCTCTTTTTCTTCTTCTTCTTAGCATCTTGGTCCTTCAAGCTGCCCACGCTGGACATGCTGGTCAAACTGTTCAGACTGGAGATGCTCTCACAGGAGTTCTGACGTCTGATACACAGATCTGGGAAAAATAAAGAGAAAATATTGAATAAAAGTGCTGTGGAGTGAGCGAGAGGTAAAAGGATAACCTGAATAGTTTACAGACCTTTGCTGTTATCTGGGTTGTTTAAGGCTCCGTGTATGACAGCCTGGGCTTCTTCATTCCTGGTCTTCAGAGCATCAATGGTCTCCCGGAGCTCCATCAGCTCAGAGTCCTGCACAAACATTAAATAAATGGTTTGAGCAACACTTGTTTGTATCTGCTTTGAAAATTGAGCCGAGTGATAGCTTGTACTCGTCTAGTTATCATCCAAAAAATGCTGCATTTTCATTTTACTGTTTTTTATAACTGGGGATTTTGTGCTGTAATAAATGAAAAAGGTTTTTATTTAAAAATCATGAATACTTTCATTAAATAACTTGAATATGTTATTTATGTAGTGGGAGTGAGCTTTTCGTAATGCACTTCAACTCAAACCAATGCAAAGTGAAAAGTTCAAAAAGACAAGAACAACAGTGCCGCTCATTGTCTGCTAAAATCGATGCCACTCCGCTCTAAATAGAGCCGCCCGGCCCATCTCCTCAAGGTTAAAGAGTCTGTGCTTTGGGCTGAACTGCACAGGTCAGTGCACTGGCACAAACAACAAAGACCTTTCCTGGAGTGGTCTAGACAGGGCTTTCAGAGGGAGCAGCAAGGCATGAAGCACTGAGAAAGACTCTGCACACGCATGCTCACACTAAACAGCTCAGGCACCGATCGACTCTTTTACACCAAAACACACAAAGGCAGAAGAATGCAGGAATGTGATGTTTACTTTAGGTGCACATGCAAACTGTTTGAGTCTTTCTTATCATTCAGCCTTTAGAGATTTTTAACACACTGCTCCTCCTCCTTTCACACTGAGCCACCCTGCAGGACTGCAGCCAGGGGCCTCTAACCTAGATTCAGCTCCCACTGCAGGATTCGATCAAAGTCACCTCCGTATTAGCTCTTAGCCGAGTGCTCATGAGAAATTTGCGGTGGTGGAACGCAGCTGGAGCTCAGGTTTTTGTTTGTTTGTGCTTGAAAGCGGGGCTGGGATGTTACCTTCTGTTCGTGGCTTAGCGACAGGCTCTGCAGCCGCGCTGTCATCAGTGCCAAACTTTGCTCAAAGGCGGCCACCAGGTTTGCCTGTTTAGAAAAGACGAGAGACAAAAACAACAATTTAGATTAAACTCAATTTTTCCATTTAAATTTCTCTATATCAGGACATCAACACGTAGATGAACTGGTATTTATTTATATGGCCGATTCGACAGAGCATCGTTTAAAGCAGACATTACGCATAGAGGGACAGATTGAATGGATTTTGTCTGACCCTTTATCCCTGCATAAGAAGTGCTAAAAAGCTGAATGAGGCACAAAGGCTGAACAGGATGTCGTCTGTGCAAAATTCCCCTCCTCCCTAATCTCCTCTCACACACCCAGTTTAGCCCAGAGGAGGGAGAGAAAATTACTTTCTATTCTCCTTTACAGAATGTATTAACACAGTAAAATAATGGATTCAGCCCAGTCATTAATCCAGCACATAATCATGCTGTGTGTCGCGCATCTGTTCTGCACATTCACTGCCCTCACATGAGAAGGTCAAACAATGTGAAAAAAAGGGGGGTGTGCACACGCACTGATTGAGGTCTCCTGCATGAAGCGGTGCATAATTCCTGCATTTTATTGCCGCAATCAGACGCATTGAAAATGCTGACTGGAGAGTTATATTGAAACAAGGGAGGAGGAGGAGCGAGGCACATGTGTACGTGTGCGTAGTGAAGCTAAGTGGCTTTTTAGAGGGGAAGATTAGCATTACTTAGACTCAGCAAAGATAAGAAACATCCTGAAAGTGCAGAGAGATGATCTATGACCGACATGACACAGGTTCTCTCTCTGTTCGCTTTTCTATAAAGGGTCAATTACTTGAGTAGTGTGATATGCAAAAAGGAAGTCTCGCAATAAAAAAAAAAAAAAGCTTAACATGCTTTGTGCAAAGCAGCATCGACAGAAAGTGCATACGTTTGACGTGAGCTGTGTCGTTAAGTTAGAAACCTTCTCCTGCGATGACTCCAGCTCTCTTCTCAGCTTGCGGATTTGCTGTGAATAAAAGCAGGAATGTTCCAATTATAAGACGGCCGAGGCCACTAAACCGGACATTATGCAAGCGAGTGGATGGTGCAGATGACGACTGACAGGCTTGTTCTCCCACAGACAACAAGGATGAGAGTGGATGGGAAAGGGGGAAAAACCAGCTGAGTAGAAAGAGCTGGGCAGAAAACACTTACCTCTCCCTGGATCCTTTCCTCAGCCTTGGACAGCATAGGGGATAAGAGTAAAGATGTTAGCAAAGACACAGACGAGAGGAGCGGGGCCTAATAAGGTACAGGCTGCAGTTTCAAGTGTTTAAAGCGTGAAATAAGAGGAAAGCGTCATTGCACCAACATACGTCCACACATACAGCATACGCTGAGCTGTAGCTACCTGAGTCTGCATGCTGCCCAAACTCACCGAAGAGTAGCTTGATGAGTTGGAGGCCAAGGAGAGTACAGAGCCATGAACTGAGCATAAATAAGAGTAACACACACACAAAGAAAAACAAATCCGTTAGAGTTGAGATGAAGTCAAACAGATGCTACTTATCAGATGACAAAAACGTTCAGAAAAATCACCATCTTCATTCGACTCCCTGTCCCTGAAGGATCCGGAGCGAACCATTCCCATGCTGCGGGGACGTTCAGCCAGTGACACCGTGCTGCCCAGAGGCGATGCCCCGTACAGCTCCATGGAGGCATCGTGTGTCGGGATGCTGTTGGATCGAGTCATCCTCGGCGGGCCGCCCACCGGGCTCGGCACTGTTATAAGAAATAGAGTTACCAATGCTCTGCAATACACATCAAACAAATGTATGCGTGTCAGCATTTATCATTTGCCATCATAGTGTGTGTGCTTGTGTATCTACGCACCCATGCTGGTCTTTGAGGTTCGGGGCAGGGAGGTGGGCGACGACAGCAGTGGAAGAGCGAGCGAGTCGGTCATACTGAGAATAGTATGAGAGTGCCTCCTCTCTCCTTTCTCCTTCCCATCCTCCTCGATCTGGGAGGCACTGCTGAAACTACAGTTTAATGGAGCAAGTCAGTGCTGGCAGTGGTAAAAGTCAGCTGAATATCTCGACGACCAAAACACACAAAATGCTCCTGGCAGGGCGCATTGAGAGGGAAATGAGCAGCAGGAATGATGTTTTATAGAGCTGTGGGCAAGATCCACATAGTCTGCCACACAAAGGGCATCTTATCAATCAATCTCTGTGTTTGTGCGTGCAACTTTAACAAAAAACACACATTTAAAGTTTGTGTGTGGAACTACTTACCTTAAACCTTTCTTTGGCAGCGTGTTTCTGTCTCTCTGAGAGCTGTGGAGATTAAACAGTGTCATTAATTAATCACTAGTGCAGGGAGTTATTAGAGTCTCAAGCACAGACAGCAGGCACAAAGAAACGCAGTAAGACTGGAAGATGGGCAGCGTCAGCTAGTAATTATGACTTCAGTCAGTAGGGCTAGTACAACACTGATAACAGCCCTGCAGTAATAACAGCCCAGCAAGCCTCAGCATATCTCTCTCTGCTTTAGTGTGTGTCTGTGTGTGTGCACTGTTTGCTTTATTTGTTGGCTGAGTTTAAGAAAAACACATTTTTATCCTTCTCATTAAGAAAGGGGACAAATTATCAGGCAGACTTTAGGGCTCTAAATTTGTCATATTCAACATCGCATTCAGAACGATTCGTTTTAGAGCTAATGTTGTGTTGTTCTCATATCCACACAGGGCTCCTGCAGAGAGGGCTAGTTTAAAACTCATCATCACCATCAGCACTCATCATCCAGGATGATTAAGCAAGCATTGTTAAATATTTTCAATACTTTTAAGGATCTCCTCGTCATGTTGTTCTTGGTTTTTATAAATGCCCGTTGTCTGTATGACAACTACCTGGTTGCTCGATTCTGGGGGGAAACTGCAGATTATCAAAGCTCTTCCACATCCCTTCTGCTTTCCTGAGCAGTGAATAAAGTTGGTGCACTTCCTCAACTGACCAAAAGGTGGAGCTACTCGGTTGCCCTCTATTTAAACCCTGGGATAGACTCGGCTGAATATGCAGTGTGTGCAGCATTATGGATCGTATTTGAGTAGAACTGAACTGACCTGTCTGTGGGAGTCAGTGAGACTTTACTTCCGGGTGTCCAGCTAGAGGGCTGGCCGCTGTCATCGTGTCTATCTTTGACTCGGGACTCTAAGGTGGTGTAGCCTCTCGTCAAATTCTCCCCCCCTTTATACTCCTCTCTCTCCTGGGGCTCTGGGGCCAGGCTCATCTGAAGTGGCAGAGACTCCAAGCTACGATGCAGCCCAGACATCCGAGGGTAGAGCAGGGGAGAGGTTCTCCCTTCATTGCTTTCTACCCCGAGGGAAGTGACCTGCCTGGGACCCAAACCTATGCCAGAACTGGAAAAGCAGGCTGAAGAGTTCACATTTAGTACAGGGGCAGGGCTGGGGGTCAGGCAAGAACTAGTGGAGTTGCCTGCTGAACCAGAGAGGTCTTGAAGCTTAGAGTAAGGAGGAATCTTAGGAGGCAAAGTGTCCTGAACCTCAGTGTCCAGGCTGTTTGAGTTCAGCTTGTCAAGCTGAGCCATCGATGGAGGCTTTGCCAGGCTACGCACTCCAGACAACCTAAAGACAGAGAAAGACAACGTTGAAGCAAGTGTGTATTTTAGATGTGATCGTCTGTTTATGTGGAAATGGTAGCTAATGAGTTTTGATACCTGTGTGTGCTGGGAGATGGGAGATCCATGCCCTTGCCGCTGCTGGGGGGCCTCAGCCCTTGTACTTTCCCTCCGTTCTCTGATGGGGTCTGAGCAGGACTTCCCTTCATTGACCCTCCCCCACACTCAGAGTCAGAAACCACAGCTTTAGCTTTGGCTCTCTCCTTCTCCTTCTCTCTGTCTGTTTGATTGACAGGACTGGGGATGCCACGTCCTCCTGGTTTACTCAGTCCTGTTCCAGAACCGTGTCCAGAGCCCGGCTCTTTGAGCCTTGAGCCCTGTGATGCTGCGACGGAGGGTTTGATGAGTCCAGAGCCGGTGTCCATGGTGGTGCTCACCGGGCGAGCTGAGCTCGGCCGTGTTAAAGTCAGGGTGCTCGTTTTTGCGGGGCGGGGCAGAGAGCGGTACTGCAGAGACGTTCTGGCATTTGGAGACAGGAAACCACTCTGATCGCTGCTCGAAACATCGAGACTTGTCTTTCGTCCTCCACCACCAGCACCTGGCTTCACAGGGATACCTGACGTTTTGGGAATTTTCCCTACAGTTGCAGAACCGCTGGGTATGCCGCTGCTAACTGCACTTGTTACACTGGGCGGACTTGAGTTGTTTGTGCTATTACTGGTAGCTGCTGCTGGTTTCTTGAAGCCAAAGTTTCCACCAGTGGAGGGCCTGACCAGGCCGGATGGAGGTTTACGCTGCTCAGCAGCTCCGGTGCCATTTCGATGGTCTTTACCAGCATCAGAGGAGGAGCGCTGAAGACTTGAAGTCTTCACTGCTAAACGGGACTTATCCATGGGCTTCCCATCAGACTTCACGGTACCTAAAGCAGAAAAGAAAAAACCTGATGAGCAGCTTGAACAGAGTTAAGTAGTGTGAAATGATGACTGAAACTAAGCACGCCATATTAGGAGACAATATCTTATCTACACACCTACGATGTCTGACTGTCAGCTGATAAAAATAAATCCCTGTCTGAGCAAGGAGACAGTTTGTAGATCAGCCTCACAGCCAGCTTAACCCTCACATGTGCTGTTATCAGGCAGTTACTCCTCTTTTCCATCCTGATGAACTGAAAAAGTTTCCTTCTTCCAGCAAGTTTTTTAAGCTTTCCAGTCAGTGAACAGTGACGTCACAGCTGTAGAGTGGCAAAATGAACATGTGCAGCATGGTTGTTCACGTTCATGGAGCATGTCTGCAGGCACTAAACTGCATCAAACAGCCAACACGACTGAATTTCCCCCATGTTGGAGGCTCACTGGGGAAAGGTGAGGCAACTTAGTGAAACAGGGTCCCCCATTTGAACACGTCCCAGTTGGCAAATTAAACGGACTTGTTTGGAAGTTATTAAGAGAATAAAAGTCTATTACACATGTGCACTGCATGCACCACCCACACAAGTCCGCACTACCAACACTCTCTTAATGTGCATCTGATGGGAGTAGTTATGTGAGGTTTATATACAAGGCATTAACAGAGTCAAAGAACCGCTGTTGAATGAGACCTACCGGCATGCTGCCTGGGGACATCTGGAGACACTTAAGAGCATTTATAAACCCGCAAAAGACACACACACACACACACACACACACTTGCAGTTCTTAGTGATTGGATCTCGCAGAAAGCACTGGGTTATTTCATATAAGTGAAAATTGGGTTTACATGTCAAATCAAAAGCTCAATCCTTTGTGTCACCACATCGTAGCCTGTTCCATGAACACTGGGCTGAAGAAACACACTGTTGGCATTGAGACACACCAACAAAACTCAGGCAATTGTATTAATTTTGACACAAATGAAGCCTGATTTACTGACACGGGCTTGTAGAGACAGTGAAGCTCACGGCTTCACACGGTAAGCGGCGCGCGTAGGAGAGGTGATGAATCACTGCGTTTCTCAGCACAAGAGGCCAACATGTCTGAAGATATGGAGATGTGAGCACAACGCTCAAATTCAGAGCGACTGGCAGACAGAGAAACCTTTTTCAATAAATCATCAAAAACTGGCTTCTCTGGCTCTTAAAGGAAAGTGGCTCACGTGTAAATGCTCCTTCTTCTGCTGAATGCCACTTTGGTCAGGGGGAAAGATTGCATCTATGCTGCGCTCGCTACGTGTGGAAACCCACCCTAATACTCTTATTTGTCAATAATACCAGTCTCCCGGGACTCACCACTTTTTTTTTGCAAGACTTGAAAAATCTGCTGAAATCATCTCTCATCAGTCATAACACCGAGACCATGTGTGGCCACGTATATGTTGTTGTTAAGATACAGTATCAGTAGTTATTTGTGTGTGCGTAAGAGGCTGGCGAACGTTAGCTGTAGTTTGTCTCCTGTGACAGAGGGAAAAAGACATACAACCTGTCCACAGCTCAGCGATAACATAATGACGAACACTTGAAAATATGCGGTGTGCTCAGACTTTTAAAAAAAATCATTTTGCTTACTGTGAGATCCTGGTACACCATAACTCACAGGGACAACAGAGAAGATGCCCTTTGAGAGCGAACCGAGGCTCCAGGGCTCCACTAATCAAGTCTTCATTTCTATATCAGTCATGCGGAGACAATTCACAACTTCATCTGTGAGCACTTCACAGTTTCAACGCACCGTCTTATTTTTAGAGATGACACAGTAAAGGAGATGTTTACTTTCTGAGAAGTAGCTCCTGCAAAAGCGCAATATGAGAGAACGGGAGCGAACAGAGCACATATCTTTCTTTCTACATAGCACTTTAATTCTTATTGTTTGCACTGAAGCACCGCAGCAATTTCCTAATGTTGTAAACCTCAACATCTGGCAATAAACCCCATTCTGATTCTGATTCTGATTCTGACATGTGATATGACGTCAGTTTTATGGATAACACGGGTAGGTCACTGACAAATTGTAGGTCAAATTAGACCCTCTCTGAACTATTTGCTTACAACTGTCTCATACAAATAATCAGCAGCTGAAATGACACTTAAAATGATCTTTAGCTGCTGTTTTATCTTCTGCACTTACTAAAAGTATGGTCTGTGCTGTACACAGACACATGGAGGAGACAGAGAGTGCATCACACTGCTCATCCCAACATGCTGTCGCTTCCTCAGAGTCACACACTCTGCGTCTCCTACAATTCCACAAAAATGCAGACGCATAACAAACGGGGCGCGCACACCGTGACGCACAGCACCCTCCTAGCCTCAGCGATAGACTGCGTTCTGTGAAACTCGAAGAATGACTGCTTGTCATGTGACTAAACCCTGGAGCTTCTCCGCACACCGACAAGCAACAACAAACTTTTTTTTTCCAAATCTGTTTTTGTTCGACTTCACCGCCTGATTTATTACAGCCTCACACTCGGTGGCGCATCGAGCAGATAGCAGATTCATACTGCTGACATCGATAACAATAACAGCCTGGCACAAAGATCACAGGCGAGTTCAACACACTTGTTTGGCATATCTGTCATTTCAACAGCTGGCAGTGCAAACGCACCACCGTTCCACAGAAACGGGACTGTTTACACAGACCCCTGGCTATCTGGACTGGCACATAACACCGCAACTAATATCCTGTTGTTTCGGTTGTCTATATGTGTGCAAGTCTGTGTGTGCATGCGTGTGCATACATAAACAACACACAGATGGTGTGCCCAAAAGGCAGCTGCACAATCCCTACCATTGTGCTCTTTCTGTGCGAGTGTGTGTTAAGTGTGATGGGTGACAGTCTTTAAGGCTGGCACAATCTCAGTCATGGCTGCACTCACAGCACACATTATTAGAAGCACACGCGCTCTTATAAAGGCCCTTATTTTAGCACTATAAATTATCTCTGTTCAACACAAAAATAACGCTTGGCTAGGAAGAAGCTATAGGAAGAAAAACACTGCTGGTCAGTGTGTGGTGTGTGTGTTAGTCACTGGCTGGCAGGCAGCAAGGGTGTGGGTGGTGATGGGTGTTTGATACATGGCACCACTTTCTAAAGGCCCGGAGGGTGGGCTGCAGCTGTGGATGAAAGTGTGTGACAGAAACAGAGTGTGTCTGTGACTGTGTGAGTGAGAGAAAGAAAGGACTATTTAAAGACAGCCTGAGAGACGTGTCCGGTTAAGAAACATTTCAAGTAAAACTATATGTTCTAGACATACTTTTCACACACAGTATTTGTGTTTTGCCACTCACCTGCCACTTTCAGCCCAGTTTGAGAGGTGTGTGTGATTGGGGAAGTGACTCCCACAGGTGGGTTTCTTCCTTTCTTCAACACATTTCCTTGACCCAGGGTTTGAGGTTTTCTCAGCTCACCCTTCCCACCTTCCGGCCCCTCCCCTTGCGGCCGGGTTTTCTTCCATTTATTAGCGGATTCGGACTTGAGGCTTCCTGTATCGTAGATGCTGCTGCCCTGGCTCTTGCGGCTGGGTTTGTTATCATCGGAGTCCCAGGACAGACCGCTCTCCACTAGAGATCTCTTCTCTGCATCCGTACGCATCTAGAGTAGAGAAGAGACAGACGCATGCTTTGAGACACTGCGTCAAAAAAAGTCTGGATAGCCAGCACGTGCAGTCTGACCAACAGAACACGTACACAGCAATTACTTTCCCTATCTAGCAGGTTTGAGTCATTTGCGCTGCCAATTTTACGCTTCTGAGGCTCATCTATGAGCGTTTTGATCGTCTGAAAGCTGGTTTGGAAAAGAAATATATATAAAAAACCCACATTTGCATCATGTCACACTTTTAAATATGAAAAAAAATAAGAGACAACAACATGGTTTTAAATGTAAAGACAGTAAAATGAAAAAATAGATCCCACAAAATAGAGTAAAGATGCCTCACAAGCTAAATCTATTCAGAAAACTGCACATGGATAATTGGCCCCAATGCATGGCCTGTCGTGCTTTTTACATGTAACTGTCATGTTTCTGGTCTTCAGATATGTACCACGGCCCTGCAGCTTTCTAGCAGTCAGACTGGATATTGAACTCACACGCTTCCCTACCCTAAAGCCTGTGTAGTGTCCATTTGAGCCTATGTGTAAAGAACTGATGATAGAAAAATCTGCTGTGTGTGGAATCATATCAAGCTACACTTTCACATTTTAACTATTATATGCATTTTGGCAGTTGTTACATGTTTTTAGGTAGTTTTGGTGGACAATGTAACACATAACACACGCCTGGAGGCAACTGTTGTTATGATTTGGTGCTGTGTAATAAATATGAATAAAACTGAAGAGTAAGTTAAACATTAAACCCAAGTTGACACCAGTTTTAAAGAACCTTACTCCTTTACCTAGTCCTTCAGACTAAACCTCCTCTTGCAACTACTGTGAAAAATAGGCTTGGTACACTGGAGTGAAGGACCTCTTCAAAGGTGCATTACTGGTTGCAAAAAGGAGAAATGTGACTTTCAGACAGATCCACACACTCCGCCTCATCTTAAAGCCCTTTGAGCAGACAGTGCACAACTCCGTCAACCCAACGACATATGGATGTCTCGTCTCCTCCGTCTAAATCCTATTGTAAGCTCTGTTTAAAAACTTCAAAAGGAGAAGTGGACTGAGACGGCTGGAACAGAAACCGCTAAAAACAAAACCCCAAAACATATCTACACAAAGAAAGTAGACAACACTGCGTAACTATAAGAATGTCAAATGTCAAACTAAAGGACACGTGGAAATCAGGCCATTGTAAAACCAAGGTCTATTGTGTGTGAAGGTTTATGCGTTTACACAAAGACAACAGCACTTTTTACAGATTATTCTCCCGCTGCAGGAGGTCGCCAGTTGCACAACGGATTAGAAAGTGTGTTTGTGTGAGAGAGAGTGTGTTTGGGACATTGCACCTGATTCTCATGAGGACTCATGCTGAATTCCATTTTTTATTAAAACCAATAGACCCCATGGGCAGGTTTGCATGACACGAGGAGGAGCTCGGCCTGACTGTGTGTTGTATACACACACGTGTGTATCCTGTTTGAAAGACCTCGCTGATAAAACACTGTCATTTCCTCACACACATTCCTTGTTTATTGAAAGATGGGGTAGTGCGGGTGAGATACACATCTGGTCAGATAGCTGTGACCAAATGATTAACAGACAAACAGGCAGACAGTGAGGCAGACAGGAGCATGCACAAATACACAAAGGCATGAGGAAAAACTGCATTAACTTGAGGTCTTGTTCCAGGTTTTTCTACTACCTACATATAATACAGCCTAACTCTGCACAGTCTCTCTTTGTGCCCCCTTTCCTAGATTATCTTTCTCTACCGCCCCCATGCCTCTGCTCAGGATGTTATACAATATGTAGGAGGGAGATGAGGGATGGATTTGCCTTTGTCTTTAAGGAAATTAAAAACAACAGCAACAAACAAGGACAGGATGCAGTGATGGAGAGGAGACACGGAGACAGAGAAATGGGACACAAAGACCAAGAGAAACGCATCAGCTGAGAATGCAGAGAAGGCACGGAGCATGTGCATTATACAATGTGGGGTGCATGACGATGGGTGATGGCTGGTTGCCATGGTAATGATGCCATGGGGTGTAATGGTTGCTATGACTCTTGCAATTAGGCGTGGAGGGAGGCGCCCCGGTTCTTCCGCCTCGCTGGCCCGGATGCAGGACTGCAGATGGCCCTGCTTGTATGTGTGTGTGTGTGTGCAGATGGCTTCGCTTTAGACCTGTCCTACAGTATATGGGTAAAGACAAAGCCTCTGCTCTCAGCATCCCTGCACTTTGGTTGCTATGGTTACACTGATTCCCTCTGTCTCACTCGCTGTCTCGCTCCCTCTAAAAACCCACCACTTCAGTCACATAAACCACACTGCGGAGGTGTGACCTAAATCAGACACTCGGGGAACACACACACGCACACGCATGCACACACGCACACACACACGCACGCGCACGCGCGCACGCACACGCACACACGCACACACGCGCACACACACACTTGGAACCCATATAGCTACAGATGGATCTTGACGAACTCAGCCAGGCTGTAAACAGGATTTTAAGCAGAGGTCATTGGTCCCAAATGCTTCCATCACCGCAATAAATTCTAAGGACTGCAGCAAACATACAGCATATAAATGCATAGCGTGAGAACCACGATCACTCACAACAGTTACTTCTACCTCCAAGCTGAATATACCACAACTACAGAATCAGCTCGATCCAGTGGATTTAAAATCGTAGCTAGCAATGAGCATCTTACTATTTCAGCTCATAATTTGAGTACAATACTTAAAAGATTTTTAGAATACCTAAAATTATTACAGATTAGTACACTAGCTAGTTGTTGGTTAACCTAAAAGAAAGGACACATTTAATAGGTTGTCTTTTTCCACCCAAACTGAATTTGACACTCCTCCACTAGTTGAACATGTTCCTAATGTATCTGAAAAATTCAGCTTTTAACAAGTGAGCACTTCTTAAGCTCAAACATTTCTGAAAATATACACATCTTCATATATATGTAATGAAAAGAGAGACGCCACGGAGCAGTGCAGTGTGTTTGCGGCAAACTTTGATTGCTGCAGATGTGACAGATATTATGGGCGTGTGCAGAATAACTAATCAGGCTTTGTCTGTGATGCCAGGGTCCTGCTGCCTGCGTGTGTGTGTGTGTGTGTGTGTGTGTGTGTGTGTGTGTGTGTGTGTGTCCTCTGTACACTGACAAAGTGTGTGCATTCAATACCTTTGTGGATTAACAGCTTAATCAATACTACTGTACTTCTTATCCGTCTGTGTCAAACAGTTGCGCGTCTCTAGTTTGTGTGTTTGTGTGTCACTCACCACAATGCTTGAGTTTCTGCGGGAGCCAATGGGAGTGGTAGGAAGAGAGTTGAGAGTGGGACTTGTGTTGAACTCTTCGGAGCTCAGGTTGTCTGAACCGTCACTCAGTCCACTGCTGATGGAGCTGCTCTCATCCCAACTAAAAGAGATCATGACAAGGAAAATATGTCAGCTAACATTAATGTGTAAAGTAATTCCCTTCTTAAATGCTTAAAATAAAAAGAGAAGAGGATCTGGATTTCCTAGCGTACAGCAACAGTAAACATAAAAGTAATATAAAAACTGTTTTAAAGACAATATTTGCAGACACTTTGAAAATAGCTCCAGTAAAGGATTCAATAGTTTTTACATGAAATAACCTTATGAAGCCATATGTAATAAGAGAAAAATGAACCCTGTATCTTCTAAATATATATAATAAACATCAATTTTGTAATGTTAAAACAGACGGGGTTTATTTCTACTGTCTTGCACTTTAAAATATGCGTCACTTTTCTTTTTTACCACAAGTTGTCCTGACATTTTTAGGCGACTTTCATTCTAAACGAGCACAGCTGCTGTGTCAGTTAAGAAGTGCTTGTGAACAGTGTGATAAAGGAGCCCGTCATTTAAAGACACCATTATCTGTGATCAAAGGTGTGATCATTTCATCATCGTTACAAAAGCTTTTCTTTATTAAGTGTAAGTCTGTGACTGTGCTACAATAACTAGGTTAAACGCTGCGCTCCTATTTTTGTTTCACAAATGTGGGCTGGTCTCCTTCACCTGGTCAGCCAGAGTTTAAGTCCCCGAGGCATCAAGCCTCCACTTTTATCAAAGTGTCCTTGATCAAGATAGCAAACCATTCCAAGTCTGTGCGGTGGTTTACTGTCTGCCCCTGTAGGGCCAATCATCATACATTCAACAGAAAGAAAGCTATCGGTGTCAGTTCACTGGTATCGCCTTGAATCCATTTATCGCATCAACTACCAAAGCTCCATCAGCTCGGTTACCACCTGAGGTTGGGCTCATTCAGCTCTGCGTCTCTTAATTTGTCTTTTGATTAAATATTCAGAGCGACAGAAACCTTATTTAGAGCACCGTCTGCTCTAAATACCCAACTTTTGCACTGAAACATTTGGCAAACTGAAATCTGGAGCACTCGTCATCACATCATCTCAACCCACACACACAAAAATAGCACTGAAGAAGATGCATGCACCCACGAGTGCATACAGGACTGCATCAGAAATATGAAGTCCCCTGTCAGAAATCTACCTCGCTGTCTCTTTACCCAGTGAAAAGCCTTCCTGTGTGACATAGAGAGGTTGTGGGTGGTTCTTGCTTTATTTAGGTCTAATAAAAAAAAATCCACAAACATCCAACTTTAAAGTTATTTCAACTTCAGATAATGCTGACACTATGAGTTTCACGTACGTGAGATACAATTGAATCGGCAGCTTATAGATTCATGTGCTCGTATACATTAAGTAGGCCATGTTTAGGAAGTATACGGGTTCGATTTTTCCTCTTATTAAGGTCAGTAAGTAAGACTGATGTCATGTAATAACGTAAAACAAGTTAAGTGGACAGTGATGGGCTAACAAGGACAGATATAACGGGGCGCAGGGGTGGTGTAGGCAAAGGAAGCGGTATGATCCTTCCAGTTGGGTGCCTGTATGGGTCACACTGTACCCTCAGGGAGATGGTGGTGGGGGTGAGAGGGAGTGGGGCAAAATGGAAAGCCCTCCCCGTCTGGCCCGTGGATATCTTGGATACAAAGAAAAGCAGATCAGATTTTCCAGTGAGAGTGGCTGTCATGCTGCTGTCTATATGCCGCTGTAAGATTAAGGGCAAGTTTAAGATTGAGTCAGACACATCCAGAGATCTGACCGATACTTTGTGGCTCGATGGGGAACGCAGCAAAACCAAAGCAAATGTTACTGTTAAGAAAACAGAAAGAAAGAAACAACAATGCACTGATGGATTTTGGTGCATTTTCACATTTAAAAGCATTTAATGGCACTTATATGGTGTATTTCTAATTTTAGTGACAACTCCAAGTATTCCACTTCACCTGTTCACACATATTCAAACAGCACTTCATTCTATGCACTTAAGTGCTTTATCTATATTGCATCCACCCCCACGGCCAACGGAGAATCACCAAATAATCTAACAGCTCAGAACGTGGGAGGAGGCCGGGGGAAAGCATGCAGGCAGAAAACCAGCCTGAGAATCTGCTTGCTGTGAGGCACCTCAGGCAACCCTGTGCCACCCAGGACGTCTAATTTTGATTCAGATGTTATTTGAGATGAATTTGTACAGAGATTGTATATATTCTTCCTTTTTTTTTTTAAATAATAAGAAAAAAAGAAAACTTATTGGACTATCAAACTGCCAAATTTTGCACAAAAATTTATGTTTCCCTTTGCACAAGACAACATTTAAAAAAAAAAAAAAAGTGGAACAGTCTTCCAGATGTTAGCCACAGACCTTTGTGCTCTCCTCGTTGTGGACTGCACGCAGGCCAAGCCACGCTGTTGTACAAATTTCAACTCATCTGACAACAGAAAAGTTTTCCACTTAGCCACAGTCCATTTTGAAACAGCTTTGGTGCTTGTGGATTTGGCATTTGTGGATTGCACGGCAGACTGTATTCACAGTGATTTCTGGAAGTGCTCCTGAGGCCATACAGTGACTTTCAGCCCTGTCCCTTGCCTGCAGCGATTTCTCCAGATTCTCTGATTCTTTAATGATATTATGTACCGTAGATGAGATATTCAGTCTTCTGTAAGAACACATAGTTTATGGTAGACTCTTGGCCCATCTGTACTTCTGAGGAACTCTGCCTCTCTAAGGTTTTTTT